ATCCATTTCCTTTTCAAGCAAATCGCTATTGCTGTCGATTAAATTTGACCGTTGATTGATCTTTGCACAATTGCCGTAGATAGCAACAAATTAAGAAATACACAAATTACTTTTTTCCTAATTACCACTCTTAATGACCTACCGTTGATGGTGGTCGTCGCGGATTTAATGAAATTTTCGAAACGGCGGTCATTCCTCTGAAAAATTGACATATCCATAGATAGCAAAAAATCGAAAGTGACCACCACCAGTCGGCGTACTAGACACCTCCGTAAAAGTACGATTGCACAATATCAGGCTCATCTTTCTCGGTTACTGGAACGACCAGCGCTGTATTGATCCACACTTCAGCGATGGATAGTCAAGGCCAACAATTTAATCCAGTCGTATAGGTTAACGATGGGTATAAAAAATAGTATGATGTAAATGTGTAGCTGAATATTATTTGGGTTGGCTTATAACTTTAGGACAGCTATACGCACATCTTCGCTAGCAGTCAACTTGCTGGAAGAAATTGTAGTATGAACCATCAGCAAAAAAAGGATCTGATCGGTCATAATATTTTGATATTCTGTTGAAATTGAAATTAGAAAATATCCCATCGTATGAAATACCAAAAAGGGTGTCACTTATAATGAGTGATTAAAAAAAACATCTCATCTCTATTAAACCCTATTTTACGAGTATCCATCATGTTTTTTCACTGAGGTGAACAGCTGATCAGTAAGTGACATATTTGATTAGTCTATAACTTTGGCAATAATGAATCGGGTGCAAATCTAGTAAGACTTGCTTTTAGCGTTTTTTTGTATGCAAATGAACTTTTCTAACTAAAAGAGTTGTTAGCAAGTACAAAAAACCAAAACAAAAAAGCACGGGTATCACGTATCTTAAAAAGTGATATTATTCCGATTTTTTTTGACATTATGCTGTTTTTTTTGACATTATGTAGGTTATTCTACAAGATGTTAACTTAGCACTTAGTTGTACGTGTTGCCTAAGCGTCATGAGGCTTGTTATCAATATTTGGCTCTGATGTGATGTAAAATCTGCTTCTGAGATGGCATTATTATTATTATTATTATTATGATAATTGAGAAGAGCAGAGTACACAGTACTATAAGCTCATGCAGTAAATATAGTGTACGGACACGTAACACAAATACATCAAATAGAAAAAAATAAAAAAAGACAGTTCCTGGCTATAAAGTTTGTACACTCCTCCAGCTATCATACTGCACTTTGAAGCTATTAACTGAAGTAGCACCAACCACACTTTCAGGGAAACTATTCCAGGTGTTGAATATGCGGTTGGGAAAAAACCACTGTCGGACTGTTGTTTTAAATGGCTCCTTATGCAGTTTGAAGCTGTGTCCGCGTAGATTGCTGCGCGACGGACGGTATAGATGCATGAGGTTGGTGCCCATCAAACCATGAAGTATCCTGAACGTAACTATAAGATCGCCACGAAGTCTTCGCTTAGAGAATGAGGTCAGGTTGAATAATTCAAGGCGATCTTCATAGCTTGGTCTTCGTGCTCTAAAAGGGATACGAGTAGCCCGACGCTGTACTGATTCGACGAGATTTCTATCGCGCAGAAGCACAGTGTCCCATACCGGGCCAGCGAATTCAAGAATTGGCGAATGACCAATGCCTTGTAAATGTAGGCGCAAGTGTTGACATCGGATCCTTTGAAATACCTCTCCAGCATGTATAGAAGTTTCTTGGCTTTTGATGTAACGTGGTGAATATGCTCTGACCAGGAAAGACGATCGTTGACTACAACGCCCAGATCATTGTGGCTGGAAACTGCTTCGATGTTGTGGTCAGAGATCTTGTTTGTAAATCGCGGATTTGTCTTCCCGAGGTGAAGGACACAACACTTAGTTAGATTTAAGGGTAAAAGCCAACTGACTGACCATTGACAAACAATATCAAGATCTCGTTGAAGCATAGCAGAATTTACGACAGTATTGTAAATCTTGGTGTCGTCGGCATAAGCTGAACATGTGAAGAAAATCAATGCGGGCAGGTCACTTGTATACAGAAGGAACAGCACTGGCCCCAAGACAGAGCCTTGAGGAACTCCACTTGCTACATGATGAAGGTGAGACTGGCTATCACTGACGCGCACAGAGAAAGTCCTCCCGGTGAGGTCTAAGCTGTAAGTTTTATGTGTTGGTAATAATTACATTGGGTTCTTATCTCAAATACACTTAATTGAGATTCAAAGCTAGAAATTAGTTGCGCATCCACTTTTTCTTATCCATTCAGGAAATTACATATACAAACTTGCTGAATTTCAAAAATGACCAATAATGCGTAGTTTAGTTGAGTGATTCCTCCATAGATGGACGTTCACAACGATCCTAGTGAGCAAACGTGGAATGACTGTTTGCGCCCTAAAAACTACCTAGTCTGCAAGTTGACATCTTATAGGTTTTTTTTGACGTTTTAGAGGTTTTTTACATGACACCAGAGCAGGACTGAAAGATTCGACTAACGTACATTAGACTGTGGTAGTGACTAATGTGGATAGGTCCTACGACCGCCCAGACAAGCAAATGACGAACAGAAAGATCACATCCTATTAGCTGATTTCTTTAGCATCGAATACAATAATAATAAAATATTTTACGTATTAACATTTTTACATTTTATAAATAAAAAAAAATATTATACACTTGGAAATTTAACTACATAAATTTAATGTTATGCTTAAAGAGAATAAATTCTTCAAATTCAAAATGATATTTAGAATAAGTTAAAGGTGTTCTCAATAAAGAACTGAGCTTCTGACATTTCGCCTCAAATCAACTTCGAGTTTGAAACATTGTTTGACTGGAGTATTATTTTCGTAATACTACTGCTCGGCCGTCAGTGATTGAACGTCATTGATTCATCCTATCGACATATCTAGTGCCGCTCTTGCTGTTCCTATGCATGCCTGAAATGCTTGCCTCTATTCTTCATATTGGATTTATGATGGCAATCGCTGAATTAAATCTTGACGTTACAATATATTTGTTATTTGCTTGACTTCTCTGTCTCGCAGAATCAGTCTCCAGCAACTATACTCAGTGACATATAAAATGAAATCCAGAATTATTTATCGAATTTTGATAAATATTTTTGCTATCATGGAGGTATACGCTGATAAAATGTTGAAGATATTCAGAGCCGTACTTTTTTGTAAAGGGTTTTTGCCATATCAATCTCCGGAAAATATGAACACGTTTACTTAATATTCAGTGATTTTTCCGTGTTGGTTCCATGTGTTTCATTGTTGTTTCATTGCATTATCGTGTCAAGAGATCGCAGACGCGATAATTTCACTCAACTTTCCGAGTTTCTTTTATAGAAATCGCTAATCGGGTGAATCGAAACGAAGCTACTGTAATGAGATGTTGTCGAGCGTGGTTCCAAGAAGGCCGAAATCGACGAGTTTTATGTCCTGGACGTCAAAGACCGACTACAGAGCGACATAATCGTTATTTGTGGCAACTAGCACTCAGAGTTAAATTTTCCACAACAAGGGCAGTTGAGAACCGGTGGTTTGATGCTGTGAGAAGGGCAATAACAATAGGGACAATTTATCGACCAATAAGGTTGTTTGGACTGTTTTCATACCGTCCCCATCTTGTACTATCTCTGACTACACAGCATCGTCTGCAATGATTGCTGGAGTAGGGAGAGATTTGAATGGAATATGGAACACTACTCAGTCGTGTTCAGCGATTAGTCCAGATTCTATTTGGGCACACATGATGGCCGTGCAAGAGTAAGGAGGAGACGCACAGTGTGGCGCCCAATGGACAAAATTACTCAAAAACATAATTTTTCACATTAGAATTCTGTTGCTTTTATTATACCATTGGATAGATAAATAGTCACTGCAACACATAAGTATAGTACTTTAATCAAGTTGGCTGCGATTTACCTATTTTAGCAACTTTAAAGTTAGACATGTCGAGACCTGTCAAGAAGGCGAAAAATCTCTCTGTTTTATTGCTCGGGAAAGATATAAATTTTGTGTCGAAATATTTAAACATTTTAACTTTTCCAATATGGCTGGTAATGAGGCTGGTAAGTACATTATATTGATGTATAGATTTTTTTAAAATATAATTATAATTAGATAATTTTTTAAGTTAAAGTGACTATTACCGATTTTTTTATTTTTTTTTAAACTTTTGACTTTGTTTAGGGTTTTACAAAAATCACCTCCCATCACCCTAAAAATTTTTTTATTTATTGTTTATCTGTCCATAGTAAGTTTTGATAAAAAGTTTAAATCACGTCATGCCACGTCTAAGGGAGATATACTTTTTTTTAGGACATGGTGCTATTGTCAGAAATAGAGATTTGATTGATGTGTAGATAGAAGCACCGAGAAGAAATAGAAAACAGGTGGTTTATGAAAAGATATTATCTCTTATTGATATTACAGATGAACCTTCCAAACATCTTAAAAGTAATATTATCAAATGCAGCCAGTTGTTTGGGTTGAAAATGGCAAATAAATGGCAGAAAGTAGGACAATCTCGGAATCGACTTTTACAAAATCAGGTATATTGGTTAGACAAGATTATATATAGAATAAATAATGATTCTGAAGAAAACACATCTTCGGATGAGGAACAAGAACCTCCTTGTCGCTCAGTTGGACGGCCACGGGTGCCATTTGAAGAGGCATCGAAGAAAACAAAACGAAGACGTGTAGCCGAACTAACCACAGACAGATGCAAATGAACTTCAATTTGCTGTAAATGTCGTTTCTGGAAGCAATCACAGTGAGGTCTCGCCACAAATTTTTAGTTTTAGTACAGCTGAAGCTTTAGCCCTTATGGTAGATTTGGATATATCCGTAAGAAAGTATTTGCTACTTAGGTCTGTTATTAATGGTAAGGCCCAGAACTGCCTTCCTAGTTATAAAGAATTACAGAAAACAAAAAATGCTATCCTCCCTTCACAATTTATTATTACTGAAATTTCTGCAGAAGTTGATTTGCAAGAACTTCTACAGAAAACAGCTGAAAGTATCCTTGAAATAATAAATTTTGAAGATAGAGATTGCCGGATTAAAGTGATATGCAAGTGGGGATCTGATGGCAGTACTGGGCATAGCCAATATAAGCAGAAATTTTCTGATTTAGAAAACACCGACGAATTTCTGTTTCTTGTAGCAATGACGCCACTCAGATTGATTGATATGGAAACGAATATGGTATTGTGGAAAAATGAGAGCCCTTCATATACTTTATATTGTAGGCCGATCAAGTTTTTATTTAAAAAGGAAAATGCTGATTTAGTGCGGAATACGGAAAAGGAAATAATAACAAAAATTGAAAATTTGATTCCTATTGAGATTAAAACAAAAGAAGGGCACTCTTATATAATTGAAGTTGATATGATGTTAACAATGTTGGACGGCAGTGTTGGAAACGTTCTATCAGAGACAAATTCAACTATGAAGTGCATCATTTGCTGAGCCACACCCAAGGACATGAACACGTTAGCAGGGATTAACCGTCCTCCTAACGTAGGCAATTACCGGTTTGGTTTGTCAACTTTACACTGCTGGATTCGTTTTTTTGAATGCTTACTCCATATTGGATACCGCCTGCCAATTAAATCTTGGCAGGTTCGTGGGCCTGAAAACAAAGCTATAGTCGAGCAAACAAAAAAACAAAAAACGAATCCAAGCAGAGTTCAGAGCCAAGCTGTCTCTAATAGTTGACAAATCAAAACCCGGGTATGGCTCCTCAAATGATGGCAATACGGCCAGAATTTTTTTCCACAATCCACAAACAAGTTCAGATATCACAGGGGTTGACAGGGAATTGATCGAGAAATCATCATCATCATCTTAGAAGTGTTAGCTAGTGGTTGCGCTATTGATATGGAAAAGTTTGCGTCATTGCTGGAAGAAGCAAGAAATTTGTATATCCACCTTTATAAGTGGTACAACATGCCAAACACGGTACATAAGGTCCTTGTTCATGGGTGTGAGATAACTGATGCATTTTGTTTGCCCATTGGAGAACTGTCGGAGGATGCGCTTGAGGCTCGCCATAAAGAGGTTAGGAAACATCGATTATCTCACACCAGAAAATGTTCAAGAACAGATACGAATAAGGATCTCATGCGTGTTCTTTTACTTACTTCTGATCCTTTTATATCCTCAAAAAGAAAGGTGAGCTCAAAAAAATATAAGAAATGCAACGAGGCAGTTCAGAACTATTTAAAAAAGCAAGAAAATGATGATTTAGGTATTGACTTAGGTATAATAACGAATGACACAGCACCGAGCAAGAAATCCTATTCCGATTAGAATGGGTATATTTGGTGTTATTTTTTAATATAGTTTATATTATTATTTCATACATTACCTACTAAGTAATTGTTATTTTGTTAAATATATTTTTTTAAATAAAAACCTAAATATCAATTTCAAATTATACAGATTTATTTTTTATTTGAATTATTCTTATTATTTTTTCAAATAGATAGACAAATTTAATAAATCATATTGCGCCCGCCACAAGTTGGCTACATTAACTTTTAAATCATTCGGTAAAGATCTTGAAAAATAAAAGCGTGACTTTTTGTCTCTCTTAAGAATGCTATAATAATATCCTACCTTATCCCAATTTATTCGAGATCATCAATTTAATATTTTGACTTTTACAAAAAAAAACGATTTATGCGAAATTCATCTCGCCTGCTCCCCCACCCCTTCTTATTATTTTAAATAATTTTTGTCATACTTTAGAAAGCTACTTAAATAAGTAATCGCCCTGCGTTTACAGAATTCAAATAGGACCACTAGTTTTTAAGATATCGAATTTTGTCCCTGATCCCTATAAAGGAACACAGTGAGACGTGGTGAACGACGGAGTGTCCAGTATTCCATCGAACGGCATATTCATCGCACTGTGGGTGTTATGGTCTGGCGTGCCTCGATTAAGGTACAGGTACACATGCTCATAAAAATGACATGCTCGTCAAATTGATACATTTGCTTGTGCTTGATATGCTTGTTAAGAGCATGCTCTTCTTGATCTTGCTAAAAGCAAAGAGTCCGGACACATATGCTATTTAATAGCAAGCTCTCCGACAGTGTTCCATTACAAAAATGGAAAACCAAGTAACTCTCTCCACATAAGTGAATAGTCATCTTTTTTATTGCAATAGATTCATATTCGTTAACATATCTTCATACGCACTGTTTCTCACAATATTGCTTTTATACTGCGGTACTTTGGGTTACACAGACATTCATAATTTGGATATATGTAGAATGACAAACTTCAACGTCTTGTAGTCATGACAGCGTGTCATTTTTGGAACACACACAGGCACCTGCTGCGAACAACTGTTGCTCAATAATAGCATGCTTAATAAGCAGTCCTGTTCACACGCGCTAAAAGCACACCCCCTTCCACCCGCGCTGCAGGTAGCATGCTCAAAAATCGCACGACGGTCGATTTAAGCAAGGTTAAACAAATGGGTGGTACATTGGAAAAATATCTGTAGACATGAAAATAGTCATTCACAAAAGCATCGCAGATCGCTCAAGTAGTAGGAACTCTCCAAATATTGCTAAAATATATAAATATTTCTCCTGTAGTGGTGTGTCAGTGACGACACCACCGCAGACCCATCGCACAGTCGGCAGTGACCTCCACGACGATGCAGCATCGCGCCGTGCATGCAACGCCAACGATTGCAAAGTTATTTAGTTATAATTGTGAGCACATTATACCTACATCGGATTTAATCTTACCGTTGTTACCGGAATCAGAAGCTTCTTAATGATAGAACGTCTTTGACTAGTACTAAAGTCTTTACTTTTGCAACCCCCAAGTTTCAACCCCTACAAAAAAAAAACGAAAATCTGAAACATTTTGGCATAAAAAGTTAAAATGCAACTGTTAGACAAATACTTAAAAAAAGGATTGTCATATTTTGAATCAAATACAAAAAGATCAAAGTTTAAATACCGATAATAATGTAGCTCCTAATATCAGACATACAGCATGCAAAATCAACAAGAGTAATTCTATTTGACACATTTTTTATAATCCTTAGTTAGCTCAGAACTGCGGCGTCAAATGCAGAAAATCAGTCTGCTGGATTGAGGTATCATTGAAATAGGAAAATTATAACAAAATTGAAACCTTACTTTAATATCCATAAATACAGTTAATTTTAATCATCTTAAGAATCCTAAAAAGAAAATGGTCTAGGATAATGCGTTGGCCGCTGCTGGTGCGACGAATTAGGCCTTTGGTGTTGCTGGTGTTGTGGCCTGTATTCTCCAGTGTCCAGAGTCCCTTGCTTTTGTGCCTGCGCGATCAACTCCAGCGCTCTCTGGATGGCCTCTGGAATGGGAGGCGGAGTAGGTAGATGGGCTCCTTCAGCTCTGAAGCCCAGTTCGTCTGCGATGTAGGTGACTGTTATTGGAGTACCATCTGGTGCGGTATACGAGTACGAGCCCTGGATTACTTCGGCTTCGTTGTCTTTCACGCCCGGATTCTTCAAGTAGCCTTGAGCCTGGACCTGCTGGCCATCACCTGTTGCATAGCTGCAGGAAAAAGAATTATCTTCCTCAATATACTGAAGATCAAAGTTGATGCCCCACTGATTTGGAATGCTCCCCTAACTTTACGTCTACCAGACTTGACTTTGTCAAAAAATGACTCCAAAAGTTCTCATCAATATCTCATAATCAGAAGTAAGCCTGAATAGGTGCTGACCATGTGTTTGAAATTTTTGTCTTCTGTAATTTTATTTCCATAGGTTAGCTAAAAGTTCTGTGGTAAGAATCATGCCATTCTGTCGGTCTGGCTCGAAAAGGAAATGATAAAGTACAACGGAGTTACAAGAAAAAATAATAAAAGCCTCCAACATCTTCGATCGTTGTTTTTGTCATTTCTGAATTCACCGTATTGCTTTTGGGGGTAGTCAAATTAATTTATTAATGTATCAATTTTTAAGAATTACCGAATTATAAAATTTCTAGATTCTTGTCGTCCATACCTTAGAGTGCAGCCGTTAAATGTTCAAACGCTCACAAATGTTTACGATACTTTTTCTCACTTTTAATTTCTCTGTCAATCTCGAACATTTTTAGTGCCATTTACAAGATTTTTGTGTATATCAACTTTTAAAACTCATACCATTTCATGAGAACGTATTTGAAGAAGTGCTTAATTCATAGAAGTGTACCGGGGAATAACTACAGTAGTCCATCTGGACTGATGTTGAGAAAATCGGTAATTAAGGTTTACTTACTTGTTGGAAAGCAAAATTGATGAAAAAATAAGTCATAAAGAATATCTTTGCTAAACAGTGTGTTTATTAGTAAAATAGATTTTACAAAATGAACTTTTGCTCAGAACTAATAACGTAACAAACGAAAGATGATGCTCAACTCTGGACTCGTGCCACTTGCCATGCACAGGATTCACAGAATATGGCAAGTTCTTTTACTTCCATAGGCGGGATGTTATAAAATGATATAGCATAGAACAGACATCGTCACCTCCTTTCTTAGCAATAGATTCATCGTAGGTATAAAAGATAGAATTTGTGTTTGACAGATTGTGGATGTTAAAACTGATGAAATTTAGTTGCCGCTTATAGTAAACATCATTTGACGTAATATTTGGACAGGGCAAGTTTTTTTGGTAATCCATCGTGATAGCGGGGAACTTCGAGGCACGTTAGCGGTAAGTTCTCTTTAGACTCTAAAATCGCTCACTCCCTTTTTCTTCTCAAGTATCTTTTTCTCCAAACTATTACTTGCTGACTATCTAGTTTGTTCCGTGTGGGAATTTAAGGTAGCGGTAAGTGGAGATATATGTATAAGCTTTTAAGGAATCACACGTACTACAAGTATCCTTTCGTGGATAACCGAACGATATATTAAAGTTGTTTTGAAAGATTTCTCGGAAGGATTCATAGGAAATCTTGTTTTCAACATTGCCAATAGAATACATTTTGTGTAATTTTGCGATATCTAGATTTTCAGGTAGATAAACTTTTTGCGAATCTGCCAAAATAATATATAAACTCGGTCACTTTCTGTTTTGTGTTTTCCGACAGTTTGTGAAGTCGTGTGTTGTGTTTTCCACGCATGTCGATGGGCAATTTCCCAGTTTCATCTAATGAGTCTCTTATGTACCGCACTCGACGAACTGTAATTCCGTGTAAAGACAAAAAAGCCTCAAGGCAAACTGGGAGATCACGTATAATTCCATTTTCAATCAATCGGACACGATAACTAAATGAAGCACTATTAAGCCTTGACTCTGCTTCATTTTTTCGAGGGCGTCTACGCATGACAGGAACAACAGTGATAAGACCACTAAGTTAAGCGTTTTGTGCATTAGTATTTCCAAGTGCATTAAGTTCACGAAGAAGCCTACAGCGTTCAGGTTCTAGAACAGTAGTAAAATAGCGAAAACGTTCACAAAAACAATCAGATCCAAGTTCGTGGGTAGTGGCGCGCAACGTTTTCATTACATCTCTTTGTCTTCCTGTTTTTTTTTTGTTTTTTCGTTTCTCTGTTTGATGGGCCTGGTTGATTTTCACTTGAAACTGAATAGTCACTATCCAATATACGCAAAACCTGTATTATAAACGAAATAGCGAATATAGTCAATATTCAAAATATCAGCGTATACAACACTATTAGTAAACTAATGGCTGATGCAACAATGAGGCTCTCAAGCGGTACGGCTTGTGTAACGCCGCCTTTCGATATGGACTGATGCCGTTTTTCCATATACGCGCAGGGACTCATGCCATTCTTCCCCGGCACAGGGAATCTTATAGCTGTTGTTTTGTGAACCTAAGCCCTTTTTACAATTTAAGAAGCTGATTACAAGATAGATCACGAAAATGCCACCAAAATAAACTGTTAGCTCAATTTAGCTAAATAAGGGACTAATGCCGTTTTTCCCCGGTACCCTTCATATATGTATCTAATTTAATGGATTGTTCCTATTATAGTGTAGTATTAGTTTGTAGGAGATGTCTACTTGACTTTTATTTGATGCTCCCAATGAAGGTAGGTAATGGAGACTTGGAAAAGAAGGTTTCGTGAATCACTGATCATTTTCATCACTGATCAAAATCAAAACAGATTTATGTGACATGGTTCTGCAATTTTTCACTAAAAAAAATTGAAAACGTGATCAGGTACATGTGAATCGGATCCAGTTTTAGCGACCTTATAATCGAAAGATAGAGGTCATTTGAACCGCATTTGAAGAATTTTAATTTTTAGTAACCGTGTATACGGATATCATGTTACAAGAATGGGTCAGCTGGGAACGTCAGCCCCACTATTCCTATAATACGATTTTTAGGTGACTGATTCTGAATCTGGGACCCTTTTAGTCTGGACCTGATCCGTTTTCGAAATACTGTCAAGAATCCTATTTATCCAAAAACGGGCAAAGGAAAATTTTCAAAAACCGTTGCGCGTCTATGGCTGGGAGCTTACTGTCTAGGTAAAATCGTATGCGTAGGTTCCAAATTTGATGTAAAATTCACCATATCAAATTACCTGAATGATTATATAATCATTCTGGACAACAAATTTTAGTTTTTTAATTGTATCTTGTGGGAAAAGTGCACTTCCAAAAATGACAATGAAATAAAAAAATTAGTTGCGGTTTAGAAAAAAAAACTTTTTATTTTTAAGGATATATTAAAAAAAGTAACAAGATTCATATACTTATAAGAATCACTATATGCGCTGTCTTTTTGCTGTTCTTTTATGGATCATTTCTGGAGCATCTCTACCAAGAGTCCAACAGTAGTCTGCAAGCATGGAAGGATTCCACTTTCCCCGGTACCTTTTTTCCATTGTTGAAATAACCTGATGAAAACGTTCGCCGTGCGCATCACTTACGGCTCCGCAATTGTCAGGAAAAAAGTCCAGGTGTGAGTGTAGGAAATGTATCTTAAGAGACATATTACAGCCCATCTTTTGATACGATGACAGTATATTTTTGACAAGGGTTTTATAGTTGTCAGCTTTTCTATTTCCCAAGAAATTAGTGACCACCAGACGGAAATCATTCCAAGCAGTTTTTTCAATACCTGTTAAAGTGTTTTCAAACTGTGTATCTTTCAAAATATTTCGAATCTGTGGCCCAACAAAAATACCTTCTTTAACCTTTGCCTCACTTAGTCTTGGAAATTTCTGACGCAGGTATTGAAAAGCTGACCCATCTCTATCTAATGCCTTGACAAAGTTTTTCATTAGGCCCAACTTGATATGCAGTGGTGGTAATAAAATTTTTTTCGAATCTACTAATGGCATATGCTGTACATTTTTTTGACCTGGCTCTAGGAATTGACGAACAGGCCAGTTTTGTCTGGTGTAATGAAGTGCCTTTGCCCGACTGTCCCATTCACACAAAAAACAGCAAAACTTTGTGTAGCCTAGCTGCAGCCCAAGTAAAAGTGCAACAACTTTCAAATCGCCACAAATATGCCATTGGTACTCATCGTATTTTATGCATGTCAATAGGTACTTCATATTGTCATATGATTCTTTCTTGTGAACTGCATACCCTACAGGAAGAGATGGTAAAATATTTCCAATATGCAATAACACTGCCTTTAAACTCAATGTTGTACTGTCTATAAACAATTTCCATTCTTCTGGGTTATAGTTTATATTTAAAGCCGCCAGTATGCCGTTAATGTTACTGCAGAAAACCATATTGAAAAATGGTTCTAAGTCTTTGTGGCGTTTACGAAAAACACATACCGAAACATCGTCTTCTAACAAGTTCCACTGCTGCAGTCTTGATCCAAGTAACTCTGCCTTACATTTTGGAAGTTCTAAATCTCTTACAAGATCATTTAATTCTGACTGTGTTATTTTGTGCGGTTGGTGGCATGACGTGCTCGGTATAAAATCAGGATCCCTTGACGTTGATGGCATATCTTCTTCCTAACGAATCACTCGATCGCCATGATCTGATTCGTTTTCTGATTCGCAAGTGTAGGATTCTGGGGGTTTTGGAATAGGATTTTCGTCACTGTGAGGCACAGGTCTCATCGCAGATGGTATGTTTGGGTAGTTAATAACCGATTTTTTTTTTCTTGGACATACCTGTGGCTTGTCCAACACAAGGTACCATGCAAAAGTAACAATCGTTAATATGATTTGTAGGCTCTCTCCAAACCATTGGGACAGCAAAGCGCATAGACCGTTTTTTGCCATTTAACCAGCTCCTCAGACTTGAAGCACATGTATTACAGCAGATGTGGGGTGCCCACTGTTTGTCTTGATCACCTAGTTTACAACCGAAATAAAGCTGATATGCCTTTGTTATTAGTGGAGTAATAGACCGTCTCTGAGACGCAAAAGTCACATCACCACATACGTAACAAAACATCTGGATTGTTTACACACTTTCGAGACATCTTGCATGAACGCTATCAGCCAACTGAGGAAAAAATGGCTAATATAAAACAATATAATGTACACGTATGTATAATGTAACACAATCATGCCGATCTTTCCTTGCCGAATATAAAAATGTAGCACGTGCATTCTTGTGAATTACAGTATATTAACACTGTCACAGCAGGAACACATATAATTACCGTATCTCTAAAACTTGAACTAATATTGAAAAAATAAGTTTCATTCCGGTTTTAGGACATTAAAAATAGTAATATTTTGTTGATTTTATTTAGGATATTTTTTGGCTGTTGATCAGTGATCGGAACGTATATAGCATCGTACTGATATTATAGAAACATACCTATAGCTGAAAGATCCATCTGTATTCATCTCATTCGTTTCCGAAACAATTGGTATTGCTGGTTTATTCCCCGCGATCGAATGTGACGGATATTGTTGAGAATTGTAGTAGTCCTGAGGAGCAGCCCACACGGTCGATAGTGTGACCGCTACAATTATCTGAAACGTGAATAGGGCTCATAAACAAAGTATGCATAACTACTTTTCTGTCGATGAAAGAGTTGAAGGGGATGAAAGGAGTTAAAATACGTCCAAATATTAATCGCCACTAAAATTTCTAATTTTGAAAATATAAAAAAAATAATTATGTTTTTGACACGCTATCTGTACAGTACCTATGTAGGCCGTATATATCGATACTATAAATATGATTGTAATAAAATACTGAACAAAAAATTTTTCTGAAGTTCTATATCTTCTCTCTATGATCCTACGTAATTCTTTCTTTCTTCCAGTAACAAATTACCAAGATGTAGAGAAACCAAAGACCTGATAGATAATTTAGTGCCTTAGCATCAACCAGCAGGCTCATCAAGGACCCTTCAGAAACTGTAATGTTCACTTTTCTAAAGTATGATGACAAGGTGCAAAAATTGTAATTTGTTTTAGGTTAGTATCAAGACTTACATAGAAATAGATAAAACAAAAGGATCTAGGGTGATTTATAGGCCAACAATATAAAAATTCTCTGCTTAGGTCCATCCGACCAAAGACAGCCAACCATGGTCAGCTGTTTGGTGCTTTTTGGCTACTCCTCAGCATGATGAAGACTTGGGTCTCTCTGACAACGAACAAAAGCCAGCAACTATACGCTATCCGAATGCGTTATCTATAGGAATAAGCGCGAAGCGCCATCTACCTCTAGCATTGACTACTGCCTTCTTATAGGCCATTGAAAAGAAACTCTAACACATAGAATATCCAGAGCACATTATTATGGGAGAAAAATGGAAACATAATGCGGGGAAGACCAAGTGCAAAAAACGCACAGGAAAACACCTCATAGTTGCGCAACTTACGTGCATAGTTTGGGTGTAGTTCAGCTGAATTTTTTAGACTCGCGGCTAACAAAGTTACGATGTCCATGATGACTTCCAATCTCCGATTTTAGTGTCATGTGAAGAAGAATAGAATTTAAAACCTTGGTCAATTTCAAAAGGGACGCTCAAAAACTCCGTGACGTTCAATTTTTTAAATTGATGACAGTGCTTACAAATTATTGTTTGTTTTAGGTTTCACATTCTCTTTAGCATTTTTAATGAACGACATTAGTGTAAGGATTCCCGTTGATAGCAATTATTTGGAAACTAGAGCAGTCACTGTGTCATTCGTCAAACAGTGAAACTTTCAGTTTATCTTTCATTTGATGGACTATTGGCTCGAAAACTGTAGATATGTATAATCACGACTAAATTAATCCCCACGAATACGTCAATCAAAAATATAATGCTATAATCTCCATTCATTCGAACTTTGATATTTTCACCCACACAAAATAACAAATACTACTAGAGTGGTAATGCAGTCACTGATCACTGTGAAGCACTTACTAATATCATTATGTTAGAGGCTGCTACAATTTCACTAAAAATTCAAACAATACTAAGATGACTCCACGCTTCTCAAAATTTAAATACCCAACCCCCTCTTTGGTTTTAAAATCTCAGATTCGCCATATACGAACAAGATAATGCTACCATTCAAATTCATATCTATACCGCATCTTCTAAGGTCATTGCTATTCCTTTTGTTAGGTCCGCCGAAATTCAATTGTTTTCTTTTTCTTGCAAATATGGTCAAGTTGTATTTAGACCAGGAGCCGTTACATATTTTCTAGATTTTCGTGTATACTATTACCAGCATTTATAAATACGACAGTAAAGTGATCGAAAAGTGCATCTATCTAACAGCTAGCTTCGATAATATGTCTAGCACTGCCGCTTTGTTAGCGACAGGTAAAATGGCTTACGACACCAGCGATTGAATGGGGACCACCAGCTTAAGTCGCATGAATTGTTAAGCATACTTTGGATGTTATAATCATGTACCCTTTCGCGCAAACTTTCATGCTGATCTTCGAGAGAGACTTTTAAGCAGGACCAGATTAACCCTGGCCAATGCAATTGTCGACGCCCATTTCCTTTATCCTTTTCTTTTCTTTTTACACTGCGCAAGCAGAAGCCTAAATGTCATGTCACCACAGCTGCTGTGAGGAGCTTGAAAGAAACTTTGTTAATCCGATTTTTGGACTGCATAAGGTTAGTATAACTGGGAAAAGTATTATCATGTAGATGGTTCCACAATCTCGATACCCTAGGAACAAAGGAACGGCCGTATTGGCCAGTTCTGGATGTATGAAGCTCGACACGGTTAGGATGGGAGGCTGAAGTCAAGCGGGAAAGCGGCACGGGTATCATGTAAAAAACCTATATAACGTCAAAAAACCTATAAGATGTCAAGTTGCAGACTAGATAGTTTTTAGGGCGCAAACAGTCATTCCACGTTTGCTCACTAGGATCGTTGTGAACGTCCATCTAAGGAGGAATCACTCAACTAAACTACGCATTATTGGTTGCATAGTTTTGTGAGGCTGAGTGATGTTCTGTAGTTTTTATCTCTGAGAAGAAAGTTGGTTGAATAGCAAGATCGCATCTGAATGATTGTGTGTATTGGTCTGCATGTGTATAAAATCAGTGATATTTGCTGTGTGAGAAAATCATCAGTGAATATGCCGAATATGACGGGTTATTTATATGTTGTGCTTTCTGAAGAGAGGTTATGTTCAAAGTTATAAATTATGAAAAACTGAGGAGCATTACGGGAAATCATCACCGCGCCCGTGTTGTGTGTAATTACTGTTAGCATGTACATGGCTTGTAATTCGACAGTGTACAGTGAATATAATTATTTCTTATCTCTCTCAGTGTTGAAATTCAGCAAATTTATATATGTAATTTCTAAAATGGATAAGAAAAAGTGGATGCGCAACTAATTTCTAGCTTTGAATCTCAATTAAGTGTATTTGAGACAAGAACCCAATGTAATTATCATCAACACATACAACTTAGAGCTTAGACCTCCAGTAATGCCATCTCAGAAGCAGATTTTACATCACATCAGAGCCAAAGATTGATAACAAGCCTCATGACGTTTAGGCAACACGTACGACTAAGTGCTAAGTTAACATCTTGTAGAATGTAGAATAACCTACATAATGTCAAAAAAACCATCATGCCAAAAAAAATCGGCCTATAATATCACTTTTCAAGATACATGATACCCGTGCGCACGGGTATCATGTAAAAAACCTATAAAACGTCAAAAAAACCTATAAGATGTCAACTTGCAGACTAGGTAGTTTTTAGTGCGCAAACAGTCATTCCACATTTGCTCACTAGGATCGTTGTGAACGTCCATCTATAGAGGTATTACTCAACGAAACTACGCATTATTGGTTGCATAGTTTTGTGAGGCTGAGTGATCGTCTGTAGTTTTTATCTCTGAGAAGAAAGTTGGTTGAATATCAAGATCGTATCTGAATGATTATGTGTATTGGTCTGCATGTGTATAAAATCAGTGACATTTGCTGTGTGAGAAAATCATCACTGAATATGACGGGTTATTTATATGTTGTGCTTTCTGAAGAGAGGTTATGTTCAAAGTTATAAATTACGAAAAACTGAGGAGCATTACGGGAAATCATCACCGCACCTTGTTGTGTGTAATTACTGTTAGCATGTATATGGCCTGTAATTCGACAGTGTACAGTGATTATAAGTATTTCTTATCTCTCTCATTTTTGATATTCAGCAAATTTGTATATGTAATTTCCAGAATGGATAAGAAAAAGTGGATGTGCAACTAATTTCTAGCTTTGAATCTCAATTATGTGCATTTGAGATAAGAACCCAATGTAATTATCATCAACACCTACAACTTACAGCTTAGACCTCCAGTAATGCCATCTCAGAAGCAGATTTTACATCACATCAGAGCCAAAGATTGATAAGAAGCCTCATGACGTTTAGGCAACACGTACGACTAAGTATCTACTAAGTTAACATCTTGTAGCATAACCTACATAATGTCAAAAAAAACCAGCAATACGGAAAATGAATTCAGAAATCGAACGCGGAAAACGAATGTATGCGCCCTGCCTTACTGAATAGAATAGACGCTCCCCGAATCATTCTCGGAATGTGGAAATCTCACCGTCTATCAGTTTCATCTAAAAACGCGAAGTTAACTTTGTGATGGAACGTTTACCTATATCAAGATTCCAGGAACGCATTGTTTTACCAAAAATAAATGCAAACATACTTGTCTGACAAATGTCAACAGATGTCAGGGTTTGATATCATTCCCCGTGGAAGAGAACCGCGCTCACCTTTTCCCAGTGATTGTACTCTCTTGTTTTCAAGAGTACGGATCCTAGCATGAACATTAAACTTATTTATTATTCTCCAAGAATGTTTAGATGGATACGATCTTTATCTGTATTATGAATGTGTCTGGTAGATGAAGTTTGTCTGTAGTGATGACTAATATCGTAGAGAGGTTTCCAAACGGATGCTTCTAGTAAACCTTTTCTTGCGTGAAAACTTCTATAACATGCAGATCTATCTGAACTTTTCTTCTTGGTCAAAGTTATATCCAATCACGAGTGTAGCCACACTCATCATTAAGGTAGACGATCAAACGAAAGAAAGCTTCCCACGAAAATTGTATAACTACTCGATGAGAAAATCGGACTCATCATGCACCGATAATGTATTTATAAATAGCAAGCAATACAACAGCGCTATTTTAGGAATACTTAGCTGGACGAAATCAATACTGATAGCCCTATAATACTTAAACTGGGCATGTTTATATTATTTCCTGGAAGCTAGCCAAGTTTCCATATCTTACATGTTTTAAAATCAATCAAAATGAAATATACAAGTAACATAGTGTTAAGCTTTCCAGTTCATTACCAGTAGTTCAAGTGAAAATATAGTCTTTTTTCATATTAAGAGAATATTTTAAATTCAGTCGCCAGCGCATTCTAGCAATTATTATGTACTCGTTGTCCCTGCTCAATGGCTACCTTTTTGAGAAGACAATAAGATGACATCTATTAGGTATGTTTTTGTGTTAAATATCAGGTTATTTACGTACGTTACTATTCAAACGATGATATTATCTGCTCATACAATGCGTTTATTAAAATGAATAAAAATCACAATATGTTTACGGTTATACCGTATTGTAGGTAGGAGCATCCTTTCTTAGGCAACGCATACTCATTTAGCGAGCATTGTTTACGAAGATATGATCAGTATTTTCTTCGATTCAGTAAAGTGTGTAGAAGATTTTTCGTTGATATAAAATCGAATACAAGGGGAAAGCTATCTTAGTTGTGAGCCAAAAGTATGCTTACACTGACCTTGAGCTACTTTCGATACTTTGCAGATGACGAGTAGTTTGGGTTTTATGCACCGACTATATATCGTCGGTGGTCTATACTATATATCGTCGGTGGTTTTATGTATGAGAGAATTACGAATCGATTTGTTAAATAAGACGAATTATCAGTGCATTTCAAAAATAAACGCCTAAATACGAACTTAAATACTTATTTTTTATCATTCGTACATATTCCTAATAAAAATGCATGACGTATTTTTTCTATCACTATGTACGGTGATTAAACATATTTTAGTAAAAAAAATTAAAAAGTGTACATCCAGTGTATAAGATTCCTTTACCAATCAACGTCGTCAGTCGTAACTATCCAGCCTCCCCTTTACAAATCGTTTACCAAATGTTCCACGTTTTTGGTTCTCTGGTTACATAAACAAACCTTTTAGAATTTCCTTCGTTTAACTTTGCGTCACTTAATTTTGTAAAATATTGGAATCCTTTGCCATGGCACTGTCAACGAAACCGGTCCCAGAAGCCAATTTAATTCATTCATGTTATTAAAAACGTTAGTTATTGTACATACTAATCATCAAAAGGCTCAAAGAATTTTTTTATAAAGAGAACCATCAGTTACGACTTATCTCGTAGTTGTAACAGAAATCTCGTCGCGAAAACCAACTACGAGATAATGTACCATAAAGAAGCTGCAAGCTAAATTGTAATTGACTTCCTTTTCAGATAAATAACATGCGAGATATGCAGAGGAGGTAAAATTACGTCTCCGATGTCAATTAAAGAGAAGTATCTTATATTTAACTTCCCATAAACAAAGTCCGGTATTTTTTGACAATCTTTAATCAAATGTAGCATGTACCAAGTAGCATAAATAGTACTTTGACGTCAGCACAAGCTTACGACTTAAAATACATTATTAATTCATCTCGAAAAACATACGATTACACTCATAAACTGTTCCACACAAAAATTCCAATGTAAAATGAACCAATTCTGCTGATATCGAATATTACTAAATTGGATTCAAGGGGATTGATTGAAAAAATTATCGTTGTAAAATGTCGGAGTAGTCTTTCACCAGTTACGTGCCAGAATCCAGAATAGAACGATTATAACATCTCGAAGGCTAAGGTGGAAACGCTTGCCAAGACCTTTGCTGCTAACTCCACCATGGATGTCCCCCCAATCCCCGAGTGCCATCGATTCAAAGTGTTCCTTCCACTATGCGGGAAGCTCTCGACATAAACAAAGCTTCTTGTCTGCACTTTATTCCTGCCGCTGCATTGAAGAGGTGTGCAGAAAACTGGAAATTTGCTCAAATCCAACTCATCCCCAAAAAAAAAGGAAAAAGGATGAGACCGATCCTTACAACTAGAGGCCTTCATCTCTGCTTTCTGATACAAATAAGTGCCTAAATCGCGAACGTCTGGAGTACGTCGAACATCACGGCTCAGTTAGCGACAAGCAGCATGGTTTCTGGTACCAGCTATCCACAGGCGACCTCCTAGCTTACGCAAAACAACTGTTGAATAAACTCCTCCAGTCACTTGGTGAGGCTCATATCCATCCTCTTGATATCACGAAAGCGTTCGATTAGCTGTGGCAAACTTCCATCATATGGCCTCCAAGAGAAGCTTTGCAGATGGGTCGATAACTTCCTCTCCGGCCGCAAGACAGCCGCCGTTATTGGAACGTTCTCCTCTTCATCCCACAAAGTCAACGCGGGTGCTCCCCAGAGATCCGTCTTGGCCCCGACATTGTTCCTCTCGCGTATCTCTGTTGATAAGCTGGAGAAAGGAAGACAGTCTTGTACAGTTTGATGCTTCCAAAACACAGAACTGTACCTTAACGAACACGAAGCATCCTAGCGCTCATCCGGCCGGATGGGCGAGTTTTACCAAAGAGCTGTTCATTTCGTCTGGTCGGAGTTTAGATCACCGAGGACTTAATCTCGCCAATAGCAGCAGCAGCTGCTGGGAAAAAGGTAGGCGATTTGTTCAGGGGTAAGAAGTACTTTTTTCCTCATGACCTCCTCATTCTTTACAATGCCCAGATAAATCTAGCTTCGAGTACCGCTCACGAGCTTAGGGTGCTGCCGCCCCGACGACATTATCCAAAGTCGATGCTGTTCAGAGAGAGCTCTCGTCTAGGGGGCAGTCTCGGGACCCTTTCGCAGTGGTGGGTCGTCGGCTCTCAAGCTCTCTTCTGCCACATCACCAACGGACTTTGCTCCTAAGAGCTCTTCTCCATTATGATTCCACCGCGCAATGCACCTGCGAGACAGACTCTCCTGTCTTCGGCCTCCCATCCTATCTGATTAGCTGTTCTCTTTAGTAAACGTCAAAACGTAATATAGATTTGTGAAAAAGAGAATATGTGTGTTTGGACCTTGCTGACGAGTTTTTTGTATTGAAATTTATATAATAATGTTGGGCGGTACTTTTATACCTGATAAATTTCAACATGTGTTTAAAAAAATTCGGATAAGATGTTAATTTTTTTTCTTGGGGTTACCCAAGGATAATAAATTACCTCTCGAAGTTTGATCATATACTTTTATTAACACCATAATATGAATCTTTGAAAAAGCTTATAGTCAGTCTGTATGACATATAAGGGTATCCTAGATTATAACTACCCGGTTATCTAAAACAGTTTTTTTTAAGATTAAGATGCCTGCTCACCTGTATTTTTTTTCATTCAAGAAGATCTTGAATCGCTAAGGCCAAGGAATCCTCCAAGCAGTACCATATATCCGGCGAATTTTTCCCCGTTCCCCTCGTATATGTATGATCTCAGGATTGTGCAAGATAAAATTTACAAATGCAACATATTAGATTTGTTTAAATTTGATTCTTACACAAAATATGCTGCATATCTCACAAACCTACATATTTTTGGTTTAACCTCGTAATTCCTATGTAAATAAAGTGTTTGCATATCCGGTTAAGATTCACCATTTGCACTGCAAATCCAAGAGAATGAGATCAAGTAATTTGAAATTCAAAAATGTTCCAACTTGGAGACTGCCATTTTCATTCGGAAATACCAACATTCAAATTCTGTCTTGGGTAATCTACGAATAAACCGTTTTGTGAACAAACCTACGAACAACAAACTTCTTTCTGACAGATGACATTCTATGTTTGTTTTTATAGCCTACTTTATAAGATAATGCGATTTTTTTATAAAGTTTATTTTTTAAATATAAACAATACGTTTTTGAAGAGAAACGTTAGTAACGAGTTATTAACCAGGAATTGTAAAAGTTTTCATTGCATTCCAGGGCCACTATCATTACCTGGAATTGGCACTCTTTACCAGTACTTTCCGGTGATTGGTGAGTGAAACTACATGTACAAGTTCCCTTAATGTTGATTTAAACTAACATTCTGCATTTTTAGGTCAGTATAGGTTTGATACACTACACTTAAATGGCTTTAAAAAATACCAGAAGTTTGGACCAGTTGTTCGGGAGCAGATTGTACCAGATGTCAACATCCTGTGGTTATTTGATCCAAGTGATATTGAAACCATGTTTCGACATGAAGGAAAATATCCTCAGAGACGCAGTCACCTAGCCCTTGAAAAGTATCGACTTGACAGACCTAATGTTTACAACTCTGGAGGATTGTTACCAACGTAATGTTCATGATTAAGTATTTATTAGTGGGACCTCAACGTCTCAAAATTCCTATATAAAATCGTATACCCGCATGAGGAAATGATTGAAGCATAGAAGAATTTTATGGATTATCTGACATTGTGATGCTAGTGTCACAAAATATAGTTTTCAAGCGTCAGAAACAAATGGAAAGGTTTTCATAATAACCAAATAATCATCACTTTGTACAGTGAACAAGAACAACATTCCTATACTGCCCTATTAATAAAATGCCCCATATCTCCACTTGAGTTTTGAGAAAACTGCAGTTGAATATTTTTGCTGTTTATGTTGTACTTTTACTTGACTAATAAAGTAAGATTATCTATCATATAATAGCAAGCAATCAGTTTTCAGAAAAAATATGCAAAACTAGGCCACAGCTATTAGCTATGCGATATACAGGCCAAGAAAGCAATCCATTATGTTAAGAATAATTAATTATATCCACGTATAATCCAAATTTGGCTTATACTTGGTTTTATTTATATAATTATGATGAAAATTTATATATGCGCCAAGTGACAATCACTTTACATATTTTAATATCAAACACATATTTACTTAAAAATAACTCTTAAAAAGTAAGTTTAGAAAAAACGAAAATTATGGTATGTAAAGGCAACTTTGAGAAGAAAATATCTTCTGTTAATTAAAATACTTCTGCTTGCCAAAAGTGATGATGATTTTCTGGTACAATTTCTCCTAAATTCTTTAAAATCTGATGTTTTCTACTATACTGGGAATCACAGGAGGCGTTTGTATTGCAATAGGGTCATTTATTCCAGGTTTTAACACCTTTGCTTGCAAAAAATCAATTTCTTTCAACTCAGTCTCAACTTTTGAAATATGGCTTTCTTTCTTGACAATTACCTTAACTATTTGTGACAGGTAAACACATGGCATATTTTTTTTCAATTTTGCTTGTGAAGAAAAGTCTTTCCAGTTAAAGAAAACAGCAACTGTCATTTCCATAACTACCACATGCTTCAAGTTACAGGTTTCAACAACCTCAACAAAATCATGAAAATCATAAACTTTCTTATTCTTTAAGAAAAGCTCCACCTGGTGGTGGAAACTGTCGGCGGATATAAATGTATGGCCCGGTTCCTTTATTCACTTTATATACATGACGTCCCTTGCCCCAGCAACTGTGAAGTCTATCTCTATACTGACGACACTGCACTACTAGGCCAGTCGTGTTCTGATAAACCTTGTTCACGACTGGCTGGAGAGTGCAGTGGAGGAAATATTCTAGTGGGCGGATTGGTGGCTGATCAAAATTAATACTTCGAAAACGCATTCAATCTATTGTACTAAAAAACGTCGCGATGCCCCATCAGCGATATCAGGAAATGGAACTCGTATACCATGGGAACAATCTGTCAGGTACCTTGGAGTCATCACTGACAAGGGGTTGACCTGGCAGTAACATACTGATATTTTGAAAACAAAATTCCAAATTACCTTTTGGCAGCTGTATCCTTAAATGTGCAGAAATTCAAAACTAAGTTTGATCAACAAGATTCGGTTGTATGATTTTATTGCGAAGACGCACATGCAGAGGCTGCAAGTCCTGCAAAATAGAACCCTACGCACAATCACCAACGCGCCATGGTACGTGTCAAATGAGACCATTCACAGACCTTGGTATCCCATATCTAAGGCACAGCGGCGTTATAATCTAGCCGAAACGCACAGCAACCCTCTGTTGCGTAATTCAGTAAACTACAAATTCGAGCAAGTTTGCAAACATTCCAGGCCACGTATCGCACTGTGATCAAAATTAAATTGTGAATTTCAGACCAATCAAAATTATTTCAGTATAGAAACCTATCAAAATTATTTTCTGTAGTTACAAAATTATTCAAATAGTCAAAAAAAAGTGCTTAAACCATTTGAAATTTTTACTCCATTTTTTGCTCTATTTCTTTCCTTCTTTCCCCTTAAACATGTTTGGTATCTGGGTAGCGCCAGACTTGACAGACTAACAGACCAATGAGACTTTTAACTAAGAGCAAAGGTCCACCGGACCGCTCTGACGAACAACAACGAATAGTATAGTACCTACTGCTCACGTGCACTAAAGCTCAAAATTTAATGAGTTCCTTTTTCTTATTCATAGAAATGGACCGGAATGGTTCAGAATCAGAAGTGTCCTCCAGAAAGGTCTAAGCAGCCCACAAGCTGTCAAAAGGTTTTTGAAAGGCAGTGATCAGATAATTCAAGAATGGATAGAGTTCATTGGACAACCCCCAAAGAAACATAGAAATGATTATCTACCTGAAATCTCAAGGTTATTTTTAGAATGTATGTTGTAGATTGTAATGTGAAGTTTGCTTAGTATTTTGATTAAGAGATCAGATATAGTTTTCATTACTGCTGCACAACACACAGTTTCCAAGTTTCTGCTCATTGATAACAGTTTAAGTGTATACGATTTCTTTGCTAGTCCCTATATTTGCCACCTACTGTTCCTAAGCTTTACAGTCTGGAGTTAGGAATGCCCTACATATAATAATAATAATTTATTCACATCAATTACATTATATGAGCCCTATTATAAAGTATGTTACACTTCCTTTTACCGCTTGCTTGTGTAGGTTTGCCACTGCTTCTTTTCAGTGTCCACTCCTAAAATATTAGCTAATGCCAGCAACCCAAAAGTTGTGTAGGAAAAGTGTTTCTCTCTACCTCAGAGCCAGACCGGCATGTGTATTATGTATCTTGAAAAGTGATACTTAATCGTTTTTTTCTTTACGTTTCATGTTTTTTGTGACATATCGTACGTTTTTAGCTTAGCACAAGCTGTGGAACACTTATTGTGAACTTGTTTTGTTGCTGTACGTACTGCTTAAACATCAGCGAACAGCAATCATAGTGAGCAAACCTGGAATGAACTAATTGCACACTAAACGCTGCTTAGTCTGCAAGATGACATTTCGGTGTTTTTTTTTTTTTACGTTTTTTAGGTGTTAAGTAATAGATAGTTTGTAGTAATGCTGAACTATTTACCTTTTAGCTGAAAAAGTGGTGCAAATTTTCTTAGTTAAGTAGGCACAGTTTAGTAATACATATTATTTCATCATATGTTTTCATTTTCAGTAACAGGGTACTCAATGTTGGACATAAGATTAGATAGTTTCTCTTACCATGAGCATCAGAAACACTCTAGGACATCACGCCTCATAAAGGCTGCATATGTAACAAATTCATGTATTTTAAAAACTGACAATGGACCGCAGTTATGGAGAAAGTTTGAGACTCCTCTTTACAGGAAACTCCGGAAATCTCAGGAATATATGGAAGAGTAAGTTAGCTTCTCAGATATAATCCACAAATATAAAAAGTTCTCTATATGTGTAAAAGTATAAACATAATGCAGTTGCATATATTTTGTTTGTTTCATATACTAAATTAGATAAAGAACATTATCATATGTATTTCATCATATTTAACATGTATAAACTTTACATTTCAGTGTTGCTATAGATCTACTATCATTAAAAATGTCACTATTTAAAGAAAGGGATAAATATACTCCACTTACATTACTTGAAACGTACCTCTCATCCCCAGAATTGGATTTTAAGGATATTATTGGTGTCATTTGTGATTTCTTACTGGCTGGAATAGATACTGTGAGTGTAATTATTTATCACTTGGAGGTTTGGGAAGTCTTTGGTTTGGCAAGGTTTACGAGACAGAACTGTGTATAGACACATATGTTAGATAGAGATAGAAGCCTCCTGGATAGCGAAGCTCATCACCGCGTTGCAAATATGTTACACCAGTTCTACGTACTGTAAACTCGATTAGCAAGGCACAATAAGCCCTAAAAGCTGCAATGCCATCGGGGACTTTGGTCCTACGGGTCCCGGAAAGGGAAACTATGCCATCTTGTGGAGGAGACGCATGTCAAGATATGGATACTAAATTCACTATTATACTTTCATGAAACAAGTTTTGCACAATATTTTCCTGTCTTATACTTTTTATTTATTTACTAATGCTTATCATGCTTTCCTCTGGTTAAATTTATTTAATCTTATTTAGTATTTGATACATTTTTAGACAACGTACACCACTAGTTTCCTATTATACCATTTAGCTATCAATCCTGAAATACAACATAAAGCATATGAAGAATCTTTAAAACTGCTTAAAACACCTCAAAGTGCTGTAACTGAAGATGTATTGAAGGAAGCAGTATACACAAAAGCTGTGCTCAAAGAATCACTCAGGCTGAGACCCGTATCTGTTGGTATCGGTCGAATTTTACAAAACGAAGCTGTATTCTCTACATATCCGGTGCCTGCAGAGGTAAACATATCTGATTGCTTGAATTGTTTTACATTTTACGTGGAATTTTTCAGAATACTATGCTGCCAAACATACAAGTTTTGTACTATTACTTACTTATTACCATTCATGCCTACTGTTCAAATAGGTTTTTCATTAAGACCATGCCTTTGCAAAGCAAGGTGTCAAGTTTCAACAGCACCTGGTGACATACAAGCTCTGTCGCAAATTAAACAGGACATAGACAAAAATGGACAAGCATTTTTTCTTTCGGAAAATCAAAATTATCTTATTTAGTGATTATGTCGGGATGGTCCTCGACGCCTTTTGGATGGCCTCTACGTCGGCATACCGCTATCTCTTCATGGCCAAATGTAGTGTACAGAACAAAAAATAATCATTGTGCTGCCATATCAGAAGTCGGGCCCAAGCGTCGATCGTGCAACTAGGGTCAGCTTCCCTCTTCGCTATATTCTGCCCAAACACAACGAATACGCGACAGCAAACCGCTCATAACACCAAGATAAAACACAGCATTAACCGTTTTTCAAGTCCTGTTTACTGTGCAGTAGACCTTGTATAGTATGGTCAAGGCATTTACTTGTATCTCCCCTTTAAGGCTACATTAATGTATTCACTTACCCTAAGACCAGTCATGCATAAAGTTTTATATGTGCGTAATAAGCGTTCATGATGCTTGACGTGAAAGCTGCAGATTCCGATTTCATGCTGCGAGCCATGAACGCCCTAGACTCATAAATATTATTTTAGACAGTGGTAGTCAGCCAAAACCAGATATCTTGCCGACTAGACAAGTATTTTGAATGTGCTGACAAATTCTCACCGGATCGATGGATAAAAGGGCATCCTCTGTACAAACAGGCACATCCATTTCTACTATTACCTTTCGGACATGGTCCCAGGTCGTGCATTGCTAGGAGATTAGCAGAGCAAAACATGGTTATACTAACACTAAAGGTAAATTTTCTGGTGAAGTGCTAAATTTTTATTCAAGTTGTCACAGTGATCCAGATGTAAATCATTTTTTCATTTTGTATATAAATCTGTTATCTAACAAGGTCGTACCCAGGGGAAGGGGCGCCCCTCCTTTTACCTGGTTGGGCAAAAATTATTCGTGTACACGGTATTCTTTACGCTGAATCAATATCCATAAGATGAGAAGTTACTAGGATTAGTTGATATCTCTGTTAGGTATAAACTTAATTTTGCTAAAAGCACTATATACCGGTGAAATGGGGTGAATAGAAACAGTTTCGGACCTTTCCTACTCTGTTGCTAACATGGTAGTCACCTTTTTGACAACAAAAAATAAGGAATCTACAGGTCTCGACTTGTAGATCAAAAAGCGCATAATAGATTTTTTTTAAATAGGGGGTTTTCCAAATAAAAAATAAAAACGCTCTTTTTCTATTCACCCTTAATGTGGGGTGAATAGAAACACCCATTTAAATTGGTCAAATTTGCTATTCTACCCACACGAAGGCGAATAGAAAAACCTGAAAAAATTTTTAAATTGATAAAATATAAATACACAAAAAAAAACTGACAAAAACACCAATTTTACAAAAAAAACATTTATTTCTATAGAAATGTAACAAGTTTAAACATATTATTTAAATTAAACAACTTTGATGCAAATTAAATTTTAAAATGTCTCTTCTTGACGTAGATGCTTCTATCTCGTCATGAACTGGGAAAACCTCTCCAACAACCTGGCTAAAATGAAAGGTGGAAACATCCGGAACTTCTGGAAATCCATAAATATATCCTGACGAGTGTTTGGTGGGGCGACTTCTTAAGAAAGTGGCTTCAATGTCATTTTCTGTAATATTCATGACTTGTCCGATAAAATATTTATTTCTTTGTCTATTTCGATATTTTGTTGGAAAACACACCAGAAGCCAAGTTCCTTTATCTATTAAATCAAGCGAAATAGGAGAAACACATCGAAACAATTTACCCTCAAAGCAGACTGATGCTGATGAATTATTTGTATCCAACTTATTCTCTCGGACTTATCGGTGAAACTTGGTAGTGAAGTGTCCATTTCTGAGTCAGCATCTGAAGAATGATCTTGATCTTTTTCCATGTCAGAGTCTTCACTTGAAGAATGATCTTGAGCTTTTGCCATTATTGGCATGAAATTAATAAGGGGCAAATTCATTTCCGGGTCTGAATCTTCATCTAAGGTTTCCATACTTCTTTCCAAATCAGTATCCTCTTGATCGTCTTTATCCAACGTGCTTTCAAAATCTGCACTTGTAACGCTTTTGCCAGCAGGAACTTGAATTTTACGACGTCGACTCTTCACATTTTGACCATCGCCATATCTCATTGTTCTTAGAAGGTTTACCAAAGAGTTATTAAGTCCTTCTTCAATGTTCTGATTCTCATCATTTGTCTCGTCAAGATTTTGCTGCGGAAGGCGTCCCAAGACTTGATCCCTATTTAGTGGAAAAATTCCACACTTTCTAAAGCCAGATTGTATATTTTTTCCAGCATTAGGCTCAATAGCCTTTGACAAGTCATTTAGCAAGAAAGGGAATCTGTCCTTTGGAACCGTGCAATGCTTTGAACCAGCCCCCATTTTCCATTTTTCAAGGATCTGTCGCCAGGCTGTTTTAAGAGGCAGGAAAAATGCCACGTCCAGAGGCTGGGTCAGATGAGTAGAGTTAGCCGGGAGGAATATAAATGAAATATTATTTTCTTCGCAAAGAGATACCGTACTCGCAGAAAAATGTGAACTCAGATTATCGCCAATTAAGTACTTCTTTCCCGGTAGATTTTTTACTGCAGGTGTGACAGTGCTCTCTACCCAATCTGAGAAGGAAATCGCATCAAACCAACCTGATGGACTTCTATTAAATCTGACGTCCTTTGGTCCTCCAACTGTCCAAGATGTATACAAATTTTTAGCTTTGTAAACCACGTATGGTGGGAAAAATTTTCCATCAGCTGAAGCAGCGTACATAATAGAAACGGCTGACTTCGACGTATTGCAAATACGTTCTGGATAGCGACAGCCCCTTTTCGAGATTACTTTCTTTCTACCCGGATCGTCAGTTAAATTTGTTTCGTCGTAATTTACTATGTTTGATGGCGGTACATTTTTCAACTCCGTGGCTAAATTGTCAAAATAAGCATTGATAGTATTGGGAGAAACAGCAGCTCTTGAGCGCTTGATGTTTTGGCAGATTCTAGATCTTAATTCATTTTTGTGACGTTTTAAAAAAGAATAGACAAAGTCTCTGCCAGGGATATTATCTTTAAATCTCGTTATTGTTTTACCTCTACTGTCTAGGTAATTTTTTATCATCATCCTGACGTCCAAATGGTCAAGTGGATACCCCCAATCGGAACAAACTATTAGTTGATGGACTAAAATATCTTCTTCTTGTTTGGTTAGGGCTGTTTGTCCTCCATGAAGCTTCAGATTTCGGTTTTTGTGGTGCCGATAAAGCACAGAATAATGAATGTTGTATGTTTCGTGAGCCACTCTATAACTCATCCCGTTGTCAATTGAAGCAAGGGCTATTTTTAGAGTTTTTTCATCAATTTTCTTATATGTTTTACCTCGAGGGTCTGGTTTATAAACGCGAGGCATTTTCCTGCAAAAGAAAAAACAGTTATGGGGTGGATACGTGTTTCTATTCACCCCAAAATTACTTAAAAGTGTGGTTATGTATTATATTACATCATAGCAAAAAAAATAAGCAAGACAAGCAATTTCTGAAATAGGCAATGTGAACCAGACACCTTAAAGCTACTTTAACCAAAAACTCAATGTCTTACCTGTTTTTAGCTAACCACTGTGAATAAAGTTTTGCTAGTGATGAAAAAGGCTCATGTGTTCACTCCGACGGGTGGTTGCTACTGCAATCAGGGCTGCCAGCATAAAACATCTTTGGCCTGTTAAAGCAGTTATGGCGACATCTGTTGACCGTTTGAGAACAAATTTGAAGCGTTGGGAGGTTTAATTCCAATGTTGATTTTTTTCAAAAGAAGTTTCCCGTTTTTGTTGCTATTCACCCAGCAGTTTCTATTCACCCCATTTCACGGTACGTTACGTGTGTTTTAAATTCGAACCTTGCCTTTGGGATCTTGGACACGGTAAAATGTCTCACGATCAAGATTTACCTACAAATTACACTACCGCATTACCACTTTTTCTCATCTACATGGTGACATAATTTGAATTTCGATCCGACGTTTCATTTAATGAGTTTAAACCAACTACAGTACAATCCGCTTATAATGGACTCGGCGGGACTGTGACAAATAGTCTATTATAGGCGAATGACCATCTTAAAAGAAACACTTTTTTTTAATGAAAAAAGCAGCAGAAATAACATATTAGATGTGTTCAACATGTATTACATAAATAAAGATACATACAAAAAAGTTATACGTAATTTTGAAATTTGCATATTTTCAGAATCTGATACACGTATTACAGGCATACGTATTGTGTAGGTATGTGTAAAAACCGTAAATTATTTGGTAAAAAAGCTAGTAATTTTCACTTGAACAGATTGTTTTCTTGTGCAATTATTTAAAACAACAAGTTGAATTTTATTTAATTTGGTAAGCGTGGCTGTACTGTCTTCTTCTTGCTGAAAATAACTTTTCAACTTTTTCACGTAGTCTAATGCCTCCTTAATTGTCACCGGAAGCTCTTCTTCATCGTTGTTTTCTAGTTCGTCTTCCTGTTCGTTATCAACGGATCCTTCATTAACCAAATTGGAGTATGACAATTCCTGTGTTACTATTAAATTATTGTCAACATATACGTACATACTCAATAAATTTGTCTATATTCAGTAGACTATTAATTTTCAGTAATTCACTTAATGGAATTTCATCTTCTGGCTTAAAATCTTTGACTATTTCAGTTGTTTTTCACTAGCATAGCGAAAACAATTATGTATCGTTTCTGGAGTAACCAATTCCCATGCAATAGTAAGCAAATTTATAGCATCTAAAATGGTAACAGTTTTGGTAATTGACATCTTCTTAGAGCTCCATAATTTTCATCAACATATGTTTCCGATAAATTTGTTTAAGACTCCAAATGACACCCTGGTCTATTGGTTGCAGAACTGATGTCACATTGTGTGGACAAAATTGAAGGTTGATGTTATTAAGTCAAATATTTGGATGAGCGGGGCAGTTATCGACCAAGAGCAAAATTTTACGATTTTTCTTAACAAGTTCAGCGACCCACTTTTTTAAATATTCTTCAAAAATTGATGCAGTCATCCAAGCTTTATTATTTCCAACATAATCGACGGGAATTGTTTTAACATTTTTGAAACACATGGGATTCTTAAATTTCGAAATAAAAAAAAGGTCATAAATTCTTTGCAACACTGCCATTGAATATCAAAAAGATTAGAACATGAATTTCTAGTCATTCACTTATCTATTATCAATATTTTCCATTTTTCAGTACCTGAAGCATTAGCACAAATCATGACTGTTATTCGCTCTTCTGATAGTTTCCCTCCATTGCAAGTTTCACCTTTTAATTTATGAGTTTTATCTGGTACCATTCTATAAAATATCCCGGTTTCATCTGCGTTGAATATGTTATCATCCGAATAATTACTGGATATGACGGGCCAAACTTGAGAAATCCAGTCATTGGTAACGTTCTTGTCAACTGAAGCTGACACCACACATTTTTCCAAAAACAATGTAATGTATTTTCTTAAACCTGTCTAGCATAGGGCCACTTATTGGAAAATTATTAGCAAGCTTTTGTTGAAACCGTTTAAACAGCATATCATCGACTTGGGGATGCAGCAATAGCCGCATTTTTTTATTTTGACTATTTGATTTCCAGTTTATTTTATTTTTGTCAAGGTTTTTCCACATATTTGACACAGTGGATTTTTTTATAGCCAAACGAGCACATATATTGATGAACCCTGCTCAAGCTCACTAATTATTGTGAACTTTTCGTGTAAAGTAAATGCACGTTTCGTACTTTTCGACATGTCTAATAAATACAGTACAGCACTGGTGGCTAAGTTCGAATGCAAACTGCGAAGCCAAACCTCCTTAAACGATTGCATCAGCTAAATCTGCTTCGGGCAACGACCAAAATAGCTCGCACATAATGGATTAAAATCCCCTATAAGCGAGGATCTATTTTAAGCGAATCTATAATATCCGAGGATTTTACATGCAATTATTTATACGACCTTAAATTGTATCCATTATATATAGGTTTCCATTATAAGCAAGTTCATTATAAGTGGCTTCCACTGTATATGAAGATAGACACTTGGAGTCATATATCAATGCCTAACATGTTATCATCTTTGATATTCTATGAAACAAATGACTATATGTTAATTTCAAGGCTTACTCAAGATTTTTTTTTATAATAATGTATGACATGCTATAATATTTGAAATCAGAATTGAAAGCTATCCGCCTATGCAAAATGGCATACATAAGACAAATCAAAGTTCAGTCGGGAGATAAGAGATCAAAACTCTCATTAAAGTTCTATTTTTTGTTCTATTTTCTGAGATCACAATGGTGAAAATACGATAAATTTGTTTTTCAAATCATTCTAGAACAAACTAGGTACAGTATATCCTTCTACTTATTCTGTAAAACTATTTTTGGCTTTATGACGAAATTTCGAGTAATTGTAGAAAAACATCGAATAAATATCGACAACAATAAATAATTTCCGGAATTAATAAAATATGCTCTATCCCCGGCTATATTGAAACGTGTTCCTTTGAAGTGGCATATTAGAATATACTAAAATATGTACGGTGTTCTATTCGAAAAAAAAATTTTCGTTGTCGTTTTGGTAGGGAGTGGTATACATATATTCCGAGTAGGAGGCTTTAATTTTTGGCTTCTATTTCGTGTTTACTCTTATGCACTTTTCGGCAAAAAATGAAGATTCAACTGTTGCCAAAAAAGATAAAGTCAAGTTTGGGAGAGTTATAGATATTTTGTTGATGATATACTGGATCGAAATTTCTTCAAAATCCCGTGATACTTTCCAAGTTATAGAAGGGCCAATTAACAAAAACTATAAATATTTTTTTGTCTGTAATAGATGGCCATCGATTACCTGATGAACGCCAAAAACTCGATACCCGTCATTCAGAATTGACCCCCTTGACAAATCTTTTGACGTGTCTCGCCGTTTTTTTCTTTTAATCAGTGGTTTTCAATAAATCGGTGGTGGGAAGTTTTCAAATGAACACCCTGAATAAATGAAATACAAATAGAAAGAAACATGTCAAGCATAGTTATGTAGATATGAACTTCCACCAGAACATTTTTTTGAAGGGCCACCTTGATTTAGGCTAGGTATGCCCTTGATATCTAATTATTGTGATTTATTTTAGGTTGTAAGAAACTATAAAATAGAATGGGCTGGAGGAACCTTAGACTCTAGATCATTACTCATAAATAAACCAGATGGACCAATCTTATTAACTTTCAAGAAAAGGGAATAACTTTTTAGAAAATTTTTATTGATTCATTTTTGAAATGTACAACCTATGTATTTTAATATATTGTAATAAAATAGTTTATCTATTTCTGTATGGTGTCCTAGTTTTTCGGTTAAGGAATTTATACAAATAAAAGATCCTCTTTTCTAACTGGTACCATTTTGTTGGCCTTGCTAAAGGATATGTCGTTTGTCCCAACATTTTCCTCTTCCGAAGCATGACCTGGTACTCATTCCCACCAACACCTCTCAACCAAGTTGGCACATTATAAAGTATCCTTGCAGGATGGATGTTTTCGTTGCCCAAGATGTCTATATAGTCATTCTGGCCAAACAAAGCCTTCTTCTCTGACCAAGCATCCTGGGGCCTGTATAATGGGATAGGAAGTGGTTGTGCCTTTGGGTCTCGAGGCAGCAGTCCTCTCTGCAATACTTTTTCTTCATATCCATGTCTTCTGACTAAGGGCCCCCTGGCAACTTTATCTGCATGGTATCGAAATCGTACAAATGACTTCTGGGTGGTGAATGGTTTGATGCCATTGAGAACAGTTTTCACGACATTATTTAATAAAGACATCTTTGTAATGGACAGCTTTAAAACTACGTTGTATGTGATTTTGCCCAAGTTTTATTTAATAATGAATTTTGTATAACCTCATTTTTTCGTGCATGACAGCTATAATTCGTGATGGGGTAATAAACGAATTTGGGACTAGTGGTGTTCATGCTTGCTACTTTTGAGTATTCGTTACTCTTCTACAAAGTAATCATTTATTGTATTCGTTACTATGAGTATAGCGATTTGACAACGTACGTCGTGTAATTAATGTCGAATTTGAACAACTACAATGGTACCGAATCTTGTAAAAAATAGACAACCTTAAAATTTGGGACTAGTGTTGATTCTTGTTACTTTTGAGTATTCGTTACTCTTCTACAAAGTAATCATTTATTGTATTGGTTACTTTGATTATTATAAGTATAACGATTTGGCAACGTAGTCGTGTAATTAATGTCGAATTTGAACTATAGGCAGCAGCGGTGGCCGCAGTAGTAGACTCTTCGGTCTCTTGATCAGTCGCTGTGCGGGTTCAAATCCCGTCCCAGGAGAAATTTTTCTCTTGGCTATGGATTGGATTGGGTGGTAGACGGTCTCTGACTGCGAACGCGGAGGTACCACCCGGCGAATCTCGTAGGCGGGGCCAGAATGTGTGCATGTTGCATGCACACGTGTTCCCTCGCGAGAGTCCGTGTGTCGTTCCCCCTTTCCCCTGTATTCGCCTATAGCCCCACGGTATCCATGAGTGTTTAGACCTTAGGCCTTCGTGGTGATTGGAGTATAAAAAAAACTACAATGGTACCGAATCTTGTAAAAAAATAGACAAGCTTAAAATTTGCACAATTTTTCAAGCATGGTTTATTCAAATCTGCCGTTTTTAATGCAAAGATCGTATCTTCAAACTTTATGCAAAACGAGATGGGTTATTATAGGCTAGGGTGTCATAGGACTCATATGAGCCTAAAAACTTGAAAATACTAGAAATGCTTAAAAATCATGTCTTTTAGTTTGAAAGATGATCTGTATATGGGCTTAAGGAAATTCAGAATGGCATGTAGTTTTTCAAAGCATTTCAATTAAGCATGTTCCAGTATAAAAAAATTTTCGTGGAGCTTTGTCCGTGCATACTATTTGTGGTCATACTGAATTATAAACTTTCAGCAAGATGTGGGACAAGTAACCAGGAATCAAATTGACATAATTTTTATTATTGTGGAAAACATTAATTTATTGATTTAGCAGAAATGATAGGAAAAAGCGATAAAAAAAGAGATTAGCAATGCTGTAGGTATACAGGTGGACATTATTCAGTGAGTTTATATAACCATATTTTAGTATTCTTGTGGTATATGGCTACACAGGATACTTTTTTAAGCATAGGAACTAGATTTAAAGTATCCCCATCAACAGTAATGAGTGTAACTAATAAGGGCTCTACTTTATGCTACAACTGAAGTCAGCATGTATCAAGTTTCCAAAAAATGAAGCTGAAGTACATCAAAAATATCCAATACCCGCCAAAATTTGTCACATTTTAAATAATAACCAGAAATATAAAACTACTCAGGAGTTGGGTAAATACCACAGTTTTACGGTGATAACTAGTGATGTTGAAAGAGTAATCTTACGAAACCCGTAGATACCCGAAGTAACGAGTACCAATCCGAGCACGAAATGATTACTTTGATTACTCTGTTTCCCGTATCCCAACCCGGTACCTGCACAATCGTTGATCGTTGAGTGGTAACGCTGGTTAGACTGTAGCACTACCGCTCATACACCAGGGTTGCCAGACATCCCACATTCAGATGGAAACCTGGAAACTCATTTTTTTTATTGGCGGACATAGAATTTGGTAATTGTTTTTAAATCTGAAGTTTACCTATTTACCCCGTGTCACAAATTCGCTTTTATTGTTGTGTTCTTGGGAACCTGAAAAGGAATAAGTAGTCGATTGGATCGGATCAAAGTTCGGCAGTATTATGAGGCAGAAAAGCGACAACAAGGTAACACCACCGTTCAGGAAAACCACAATAATAAAAGCTATGTCAATTTGACTCGTGTTTTCATGCACTGTTTTGCTAAAAAAATTATAATTCAATATGACCACCAATAGTATGTCTAGATCAAGCTCAACGTAGAATTTTTTATACTGATATATTATGCTTAATTGAAATGCTTCGAAAAGTCACATGCCATTTCGAATTTCCTTAAGCCCATAAATATACAGATCATCTTTCTGACTAAAAGACGTTTTTAAGTATTTCTAGTAAATACAAAGTATTTTCAGTTTGTAGGCTCATATGAGTCATATGACACTCCATCCTATGATAACTCATCTCGATAAGCATACAGTTTGAAGATACAATGTTTGCATTAAACACGATAGTCTTCAATAAACGATGCTTATAACTTTTGCAAATTTTAAGGTCGTCTATTTTCTTATAAGATTAGGTTCCATTCAACTTGTTTAAATTCGACATTAATCACACGACGCACATTGCCAAATCGTTATACTCATACTACTCATAGTAATCAAAGTAACGAATACAATAAACGATTACTTTGTAGAAGAGTAATGATTAGTAACGAGTACTCGTAAGTAACGATAACCAACACCACTAGTGATAACTATGACATATAACAGCTGATTCATGACGTCACGGATCTTATAACCAAACTAATATGGTGTATTTTTTAATTCACCGGTTGAGCAACCGGTGCCACCGGTGGACCAGACATCCGTCCTTTTAATTCAACTGGTTGCTGCCATCACCATACAAAGCTGTGAACAGGGTCAACCATAAGCACCGCATCCATCAGTGGTGGAATCAACCAGTGAATTAAAGAATTCACCTATTATCACACTAGCTTGAACGCAAAATGCAAAATGGTAAATACCATTTTCATTTGGTTATTCGCTTGAATTTGATTAATTATTTTTGACATCGGCCTTTCCTCATTGACAGATTATGTGTTCTGTGACGGGGGTTGTCATTTGTCATATTTGAAAATTCATACGTTATAAAAGTCCCTTTAAAAGCCTGACATTTTTTATAATTTGTAATGTTTATAACACAAAGCTATGGTTGATCAAGTGGAAATAAGAGAAATGTTCGATACAGCTTATTCATTAAGCGCATCAAACGTACATTACCCATCAGGTCCTTTACTCCAGAGTAAGTAATATTATATGAGTATCCTGCAAAACTGTATTGATGAATCTCATTCCAGGAAGACATAGATATAAAGTACATATTGGTGATGAAAATGAAACTCGTGCTATTTACGGTCCCACAGAATGCCATTCACATTCTCTAAGAATGAAGTCTGCTTTATGCTACAAAAAACTACTAAATAAACGTACACAAAAGGTGGATCATGCAACTCTACTTGTAGATGCTATAAAAAATTTAGACATTAAGTGCTCAACATATCCTGAAGAAAAGCATGTAGCAGAAATGTTACAGCATTTAAAAGAAATGCCCAAAGGTAAATTCTAGAGTATACATGGAACAAACCCTTGAGAGATGTTACCTTGTGTTTACAAGCAAAAAAGATTTAGTAGGGATGTATGCAAGAGTCGTCCTTGGAGCAGCTTACCAGTGACCCAGTTGAGTTACTCTGAGTAACTTGGTAGTCACTCTCAAACTTTAAATCACTGGAAAGCAGCTCATATAGCTTTTCAGGAAGATCCAAGAAGTCCCATTGGGATCAACTACATTGTAGCTTTAATTTTTGATTTTTTGGTCACTATCTGATATCATTTATTCTTATTAAAATGATCCTGTCAGGTTTTACTTATACTGGTTGAGTGTAGATCATATAGTCTAATCATATTAGCAGATTTCTTCGAAATAATTGTAAAGTCTGGTTTTATTGATGCAAGTTGGTCAAGAAGGTATTTAAAACATGGATGCATAAAATGGGTACACCAATTTTTATGAGAAAACTTTTTAATTGACAACAAAGAATGAGAAAACGTGTTTTTTGGGATTCAATTAAAAGTGTTGGCAGGAATGAGAAAACTCGTCAAATAAGATTTTTAGGTACTTATGAGACCACATGTAAAAATATCCCACTAATAGTAAAAAAGTTATGGGCAAAAACTTAGGCAAAATGCAAGTTTTCGGCACTCGTTGCTAATGCGACGATAATTTCACGCAGCAACCACAACAAAATTGGAGTCGATTGGTCAAGTAGTTTTTGAGAATTTCTAATTGTTTATTCCAAAACACCTGTCTCCAGCCATCACTATAGTTTAATGAGCAATATACAGGGTTCGTTCAAAGTGCGTTTCATAGCAAAATACACAAGTTTAACTTGCCGACATGAATCACAAGCCGTTCCAAAAGATAATTGTTATTTTTATGCTACAAACAAAGGCTTACGTTTTTTTCATCTAAACAAATTCAAACATTCGTATTTGGAACAAAAGATGATAGACACATCGACTTTGTTTTAAAATGTTTATATTTTTTCCCAATATCGTAACGAATCTGTTCAGTTACTCACAAATACGATATGTTTGATTTTTGTTTTGGAGAAAAAAAGGAAACCTTCATTTTTCACATAAAGCTAACAATTATGTTTCGGAATGGCTTGTGATTCATGTCGGCAAAGTAAACTAGTGTATTTTGGTTGTAAAATGCCATTTGAATGAACCTTGTATATTGCTCAATAAAAATCTGCATTTACTTTTACTATTAGTGGGATCCTTTTACATGTAGTCTCATTCTGTAGGTCTCATAAATACCTAAAAGTCTTATTTGAAAAGTTCCTGCTAACATTTTTGATTGAATCCCAAAAAACATGTTTTCTCATTCTTTGTTGTCGAATAAAAAGTTTACCCACAAAAATTGGACTACCCATTTTATGCATCCATGTTTTAAAAACCCCCTTGAACAACTTGCAGCAGTAAAACCAGACTTTACAATTATTTTGCAAGCCAGGGGTATTTTCACCCAATATGATTAGACTAATATATTATATATATATATATATATATATATATATATATATATATATTTTCATTTTGTCCTGCTTGTGAAATATATAAAGGAAAATTATAAGATCACTTATGTTAAAAAATGTTTAGCCACTGACAACCATACTATCTTGGCAGCATGTTGACTGAATATTGATAATTCAGAACAATTTAATGATTCTACTTTTCTATTTTATAGAATGGACTCTTGTGCAACTAACACCTAAGTATAACCCATTAGAAAACTTTCAAGAAGATATAAATACCTATTATACTGAAGCCATCCATATATCTATTTTCCACTGTGGGCCTGCTGCTCCAGACCCATTTCTAGTCACTGCGGGACCTCCTAAAGACCCTGTTAATGGTGAGTGAGAAGTATCTATTTTCAAATATCTTGATAAAGGCCTCTTGATTTGAACGTTATTTTACTAGGTACAGTGGACCCAGGGTAGTGCGGGCCCTGTCTAATCTCGCGTCTCTGTAATCCGACACACCTACTCTATTAGTTTTACGTAATTCGGCAAATCTTCACTAATATAATACTTGATTGGACAGGTTGTAACTGGTACACATTACAGTGGACCCCCGATAATTCGGCCCCTGTCTAATCCGGCGCCCCCTGTAATCCGACATGTCTTTGAATATGTATCACATACATACGTATTTGACAATCTTCGCTAATGTAGATCACGCAGGTTTGAACAGGTTACAACTTGTACGCGCCACCGCTATCGTGCTCGACGCGTAAGCATTGTTTTACTTAGTTTGTATCTGACTACTGGTGATAGCGGTACAGCCTAGCGTTTGCTATTTATTCATTGTGTATTAAGTATAGTACCTAGTAATGTCATCACAAACTCAGAAGCGAAAGCACAAAACATTGACAATTAAAGAAAAATGTGATATCTTAGACGGCTTAAATCGCAATTAAACTTTCAGTAGTTTAGCAAGTGAATACGGCGTAGGCCGATCTACAACTTATGACATTAAAAGAAACTACGAGAAGATCAAGAAGTACGTGCCAACTACTCTCTGCGGGCCAGGCAAGAGACAGACACTCAAGAAAGCTGAACATCCAGAAGTGGAAGAAGCTTGGTACATGTGGTTTCTTCAGGAAAGAAATAGGCATGCACCAATTTCAGGACCCATGTTGGCCATGAAAGCTAAGTTTTTTTATAAGGAAATAACAAAAAAAGATGATTTTGCCAGCAAAGGATGGCTAGAACGTTTTAAAAGTCGTTATGGCATACTTTTAATGACTATTACAGGAGAGAAGCTTTCTAACGATGCCACCTGCACCTTTGAATTAAGATTTTTGCAAAAGGTGAACGATTTAAATCGTGACCCGTCACAGGTGTACAATTTTGGCGTGTGATGCCTAACAAAACTTTCGTTTCTTGTAACGAAAAATCCGTACCTGGACGAAAAGTAAGTAAAGAGCGTGTAACCATACTACCATGTGCTAACGCTGCGGGTACACACGCGCTTAAGATGATGGTCATTGGGAAATCTAATAAACCATGGGCATTCAAAAACATTGATTTACCTATTATGGACAAAAAAGTGCATGGATGACAAAATACCTTTTCAGAAAGTGGTTTGATGAATGCTTCGTACCTGAAGTTAGAAAATGGTTAAAAGATCATAATTTTCCTCAAAAAGCGTTGTTGCTTCTTGATAACGCTCCCGGTCATCCGTCTGAAGAAGAACTAACAACTGAGGATAAATGCATCACTGCGATGTTTCTTCCGCCAAATTGCACTGCACTGATTCAACCAATGGACCAGAATATCATGCAGTTTGTCAAGCAAGACTATAAGAAAAACCTACTTCTGAGAGTTGTATCAAAAGACCAACCAATAGAACAAACTTTAAAAGAATTTAATATGCTCTTTGTCAGTCGTGGAATGCGTTACCGTCATCAACTATTAAATCGTCTTGGAAAAAGTTATGGCCAGATATAATCACCACTCCTAGCAACGTTCCACAAATCAGTGTTACTTCGGAAGTTATAGAACAAGTCGCTACTGAAACACAGATAAGTCCGGAAGATTTGGAAATCTGGTGCCGTGGAATGGATAAAGAGGAAAATGTTTTTCATTAAATGTCTGACGAAGAGATTATAAAAGAGGTTTCTAATTATACAACAAACAATCAGGAAAATAACGACGACGTGATTGCAATAGCTCCACAAGTCACAGCACAAGACGCAATTAACGCCTTTGAGCTAGGTTTACAATGGGCTGAAGAGAATGGTACATCCTACAACGAACTTTTACTTTTGAGAAGACTGAGGAACAAAGCTCTGATCTCGCGTTATAACAACCTTAAACAAAAAAAATGATGAATATTTCCAAGCTTCATAATTTGATGAATTCATTAATGATTTTGATTAATAATTCTTGATTATTTTGGTACATATGTATGGGCATTTATGCTTAATTTTATAATAAAACTTAAGCTCTCTATTGTTATTTAATTTATTAAATTCGACATGCATAAACTATGTATGATTTGTACTTCAAAGTACATACATATACATAACATATATGTATAGATAATCTTACCATCGGATATGTAATTTGTCGGATTACAAGGTACTCGTTTGTAAAAAATTCCGGACTATAGGGGGTCTTAGGCAGTGCTCTATAATCCGACAAATTCGATAGTCCGACACTGATCTGCATAATGTTTGTCGGATTACCAGAGGTTCACTTATTTGTAATATCCTGTGAAACACTTAAATACAGGGCGATTTACAATTCGTGACCAAAAATGACACATCATGCACAGGGCCGCATTTTAAGGCATCGAGGAAAAAATGGTACATAGAAGACCATCCTTAAAATGCAGTCCTGTGTATGATGTTTCATTTTTGTCACGACTGGATTTAGTAAATATGTACATTTGTTTCAACATGATTATTTCCTAATGTTAATGAGTTTAGTTATTTTTTTTGTACGTTATATAGCACTGATGATATTATTTTTATAATAAAATATACTAGCACTACATTGTGATGTTTAATTCGTATACATAATTATGTAGTATGATTGTTAGTTCAAATAGATTCTTTGATTTGTAATTTTTCGGATTACAAGGCACATTTTTTCAAAAAATTTAGGACTGTACAGGGTTTTGGGCAGTACTCTATAATCCGACATCGTCCTGCAAAAGGTTTGTCGGATTACTGTGGGTCCACTGTGTTAGATTATATAAGAACTTCGTTAATTGTAGGACAGACGGTAAAATTAGCAAATGAAATGTATTCTATTATAAGAGATAATAAGGAGGTTTTAACATATGGTTCAAAGAGGAGAAACTTCAGATCTTTAGCTGAAAAAAGTGATTATTTGAGTAAAAGGAGAAGTATTGAAGATAGATTGAAGGTGAGAATTTCATGTATTGTGTATGTCCTAACCCACTACTGTTACTAAAATTATTGAAATCCTTCTCTAAACATCATTGAATATCAAATTTTTGTTTTTAGTTTCTTGTTAAAGACATGCAATATCTCTGGTTAAAGCAGTGGCGATGTTTATTTACTGGAAAATACTGCGATGAAGCTTTGGAAGAACAAATAATCCATGGTATTTCTAATGGGTGAGGAACTCTAGATTTTGATGCTAACCTTGCGAGTTGCTATATTTTCTGAAATTCAAAGAAATATCATACATACATACTTGTTATGCAGGCAGTAATTTTGCAGTACTAGCTTTTCTATACCCATAATAATATTTATTCTTCAGGATTGCTAATGTGAAAGTTACTGAAAAAGCAAAAGCTATTTTAACCTGTTTAGTGAAAAATTTCGTCACCTTGAAATCAACTGAAGTAAGAGCTGCTATCCAGTATTGTTTCCCAGAAGTGACAGATAAAAGTGTCATCAAAACAATAGCTTTGGCAGTTAAAAAACTAAATGAAGATATTGTTGGATCCTCAGATGAATTAAAAAGGAATCCTATAATACTCATATTACATGAGGTAATACTCAAAAGGGCACATTATTGTTCCAATATTTCACAAATGAAGGCATCAGATATTTACTTTATTATTCCAGGATTTGGATGCATTTCCTTGGGAAATGATGGATGTGTTAAAGGAAAAACCAGTCACAAGAGTGCCTTCACTTAGATTCCTATATAACTTATACAAGTCTCATAGAAATGACATAGTTGATGGATATAAAATAATAAAATATTCTAATAAAGGTAAATATGTTACAGTGCTGATATTTGGTTAATTTTTCTCATTATGGGTGATATCTTTTATGTAAACATTAAATCATAGTCCTTTATTTATAGTTCATTTAAGTTTCAATATCATATAAACAATTTTCTCATATATTTCAATCTATCTTATTTTCACTAGGTTGCTATGTTGTCAATCCAGACAAAGACCTAGATAATATGGAAACAAGAATCATGTCATTTTTTAACTACTGGATGCCAAGCTGGTCTGGAATTTCAGGTAGTCAGCCAGAAGATGGGAAGTTCCTAGAGTATCTAACATCTGCAGACGTATTCCTGTAAGAATGTTAATATATAATATAATCCCCCACTAATTCCGGATGACAATAGGAAAATTTTGTCCTGCGGTGTTGTCTTAAATATCCGAATACAACTTATATTTTGTTTCCAGATATAGTGGTCACGGAAATGGTAGCCATTTGATGGCGTTAGAACAAGTTCAAAAATCGAATATTAAAGCAGTCGTACTATTGTTTGGATGTGGAAGTGTCAGAAATAACAGGCTTGACCCACAAGTAGAGATGTTTGCTAGCTACCATTATTACCTTATGGGAAAATGGTAAGAACATTTGTACTTTTTTAATCAGTGATTGTAATTTTTGGGACTTGGACTTTAACTTCCCACTGGCGAGGAAATATTGTAATCGCGAAAAATTTCGAAAATAAAATATTATAGCCATGTCAGTCACGTCCGTCGGTCGGTCTCCCTGTCTGTCAGCTAATCCTTGTCCCGAATATAACTTGTAAGGTAACTGTCGGATTTTCATCAAATTTTCAAACTATCAGTACAAGAACAAAAAAGCTTTGTTGTTTTTTTAAAATCGGTTCCAGACGTATCTGATCGTTTTCACAGGCTTCTAGGAGGGTGGGGTGACGGTGGAGTGTATGTCTTGATTTTTTCGAATTAGTATATTCATAAGCTTCCAATAGTGATAATTCTTCGGACTTATTAGACATATTTCACACATTATAGATTTGCCGTTGAAACTGAGAGAAATACTTTCAATCGACGCGTCGCATATCAGTCGCGGCCGCACGGCAACGCTTTCAACGTATACCTACGTGCACAAAGTCCTGCCATTGCCTGACCGCTAACGTGCTTACTACTGGCTTATCGTATAGCTAATTGTCGTGGTTCAGTAACGTTGCTTGATAGCCTATGTTTGCGGTAGGGCAACGAGGAATTTTCTAGATCCCAGGGTAGGGATTATGCACTAATAATTTTTTTGTTATTCGTGTTCGTAGCTTTTCTTTTTTCTCAGAGGGGCCAGCTTTTTCCGAACGTAATCTATTATGAATGGCGTTTACGTGTCAAATGCAGAATCAACTTACTTGACGATATTTTTTTTAGTACAGCTATTTGTTTTTTAGCCCTTCGGTTGTTGGAATGTTATGGGAGGTAACGGATCTTGATACAGATGTCTTAACAACTAATTTTTTGAGCTATTGGATACCGTCAAAAGCCCCAATTCATTGGAAATATGTTGATAAAACTGACTGGAACAAGGCATTGAGTGATAAAAGTGAGTACATTTTTGATGATCCATATTGCGTTGATTACAGTTCCATAAGATTTTCCATGATTCTCATGACCTCTGCGTCGTATGAAAATTTGCAAAAGCCATTTTTATCTGAAGTTGTGCTAATGCTGTGGTCTGTTTTCGAGATTTATCTGATGGACCTGCACAAATAGTTTGGCAGAAAGGTTGCACATGGCGGCGTAGAAAGTTTCACAATTCAAATATTTTATTTTCAGTGAACTTTCAGAAGGTTACCAAAGGCGCTGGACAAGAAAAATATTGGGAACCCGAGTTGTTACGAGCTTTAAACGAAGCAAAGCATGGTCTTAAATATTATAGTACAAAGGCTGCGTGTGTTGTCAGAGGTATCCCTGTAAAGATTCAACTGGTCTCATAGTAAATTGTTCTTAGATAATTATTTGTGAAGTTAGGTGCCTAACAAAAAGTGATGTTGCACATTTTTTGTAATTTATTTAATATAGAAGTATACGTTTTCAAAATATAAGTATAATTAATGTAAAGAAACCAGTACAAATTAAACATTATGGATATTAGTAGAAATCTCTGTAAGCAGCTCGCACATAAAATTATATTCTTCTATGAGATTCAACTTGTTCTATTTTTAGCAGTTCTACCGTCGATATTATTCCTATCCTTCTTACAACACGCAAGAGAAGTTATGACATTTTCTGTGTTGGCTACTGTAGCCGACCGCCCTCGTGCGTCGAGGTTTGGTCGTGACGCCACATAACTTCGGCTTCGGCGCCACGGCACTGACTAATCTACTAATTCCAAATGTGGACATAATAATGGTTAATGGTTGATTATACGAAATATTTATGCTTTGCCACGTGTTAACATTTATATACTAAGCGACATATAAATCCGAACACCCAGTTTAAATGGTTTTATTTTAATAAAAGTTGGTGAATGTATTTATCTTACTGTAAATAACAAGTGAAAAAATGTTCAGCCTTATACTGATTTTTTTTAATTCACTAACGCTCTAAAAATGAATATTTCAGCCGCACTAAAGAATCAACGTTGGCGGATTTTGGTTCTTGATATCCTTTACGATCGGTTACGATGCCTAGAGTACGGAGACCTATACGATTTCGTCAACTTAGTGAGTTTGATAGGGGCCGTATAGTGGGACTTCGGGAAGCTGGACTTTCTTTTCGGGCAATTGCAGTTAGAGTACAAAGAAGTGTAGATACTGTGGTTAGGTGTTGTCAGGCATGGCTTCGAGAAGGCTGTACGCAAAGAGCAAGGGGCACTGGACGCCGCCGTAGAACAACAGGCCGTGAAGATCGCCGCCTAAGATTATTGGCCTTAAGGGACCGTTTCTCCACTACCAGGTCCATTGCAAATTAATGGTTTGCAGAACACGGAAGACCTATTGGCATGCGAAGTGTTTACCGACGAATGAGAAGTTTTGGCTTGTTTTCATACGAGCCACATTGGGTCCTCCCTTTAACTCGAGAACACCGACGTAATCGCCTTGAGTGGTGCAGACAACGGTCACTCTGGGATCAGGAATGGAACAGTATTGTCTTTAGTGACGAGTCTCGATTTTGTTTAGGCATGCACGATGGTCGTGCCAGGGTTAGAAGGCGACGTGGTGAAAGGAGGAATCCACAGTTTTTTGTTGAAAGACATGTTCATCACACTGTTGGAGTTATGGTTTGGGGTGCTATAGCTTATGGTTCCAGGTCACCTTTAATCTTCATCAGAGGTAACATGAACTCGCAGCGTTATATCCACGAAGTTCTAGAATCCCATCTTTTACCCTATCTTGACACCCTGGCAGATCGAACTTTCCAACAAGATAATGCCCGACCACATGTTGCAAGAGTCACAATAGACTTCTTTCAACATAATGATGTCACATTGTTACCATGGCCACCAAGATCTCCCGACTTATCCAAAATTGAGCACGTGTGGGATATGATGGATAGGAGATTGCTCAATTTGCAACGTCCTCCTCAGACTCTAGAAGCACTTCGAGAGGAGTTGGTGGTTGCCTGGAATGAGATACCACAGGAAGACATTGACCACCTGATCAGAAGCATGCCTAGGCGCGTTGGAGAATGCGTAGCACATCAGGGTGCATCCACACATTATTAAAGGTCAAAGGGCTTTAAAGCAGTGGAATCATTTTGAATTTTTTATCATTTACTTATTATGCTTCATTAAGTACTTATACAAAATTTATTAAAATAAAACCATTTAAACTGGGTGTTCGGATTTATATGTCACTTAGTATATTTATGCTTTGCCACGTGTTAAAATTTATAATTAAGCCCACACGCGATCGATGTCAAATTGATGCAGAAGTCCTAAATAATGGCCAAAATTAGGAAGATTCATTAAATTTTAGAAAAATTCCTTCTACATTGTCTCTGATAAGGAACAGGACATCCATTTGTCAAAGATCACAATGGCAGATTTAATATGGTGTACATCTTTGCAAATGTTTAGTTCAAGCTCAAGTTATGATATTTTCAGGCTTGCTAATAACGAATTTGATATCGATTGTTCAAAATTTGAAATAGCGGTTTTAATATGGCGGCAATGTTAGTAAAAAATTAATCGCTCTCAAAATTAGGTTTCAAGTGTTTCTTAGATCGCTAATAACGAATATCGATTCTAAAATCTACAAGGCGGATTTAGTATGATGGCTAACGGCTATGTTCACAAACAATTGGGCGATTAAGTTCAAATTACATTATATATATATACAGTAAACTTCCGATTATCCGGATCTCGATTAACCGGAATGCCGCTTTATCTGGAACAAATTCGGTTTTTAAATGCGCCGTTTTATCCGGAACAATGCCTACGTGACCTCCCGATTATTCGGAATGACGAACGACGAAATGAATTCGGGTTCGGGTATCATCGGATTGAAATCGCCACTCGCAGACTTCGTGTGAAGATCACAGTGTAATGTTTGTCCGTATAGTTATTAGATGGTTATTGGCAAGTTGTTCTGCGTTTAGCACTAACATATTTGTTCTTCATAGGCTGTGTGCATATTCATGTTGAATGTAGTTACTGAGTCGTTATCATATGTATTAAAATGAGTTGCTAAACGGAAGAAAGTGGTTATATCATTAGAAGACAAACTGAATGCGATAAAAATGTTGGACAGTGGCGCATCATTAAAAACAGTTGCACAAAAATACGATGTCGGTGTGAGCACGGTTGGTGACTGGAAAAAAATCGCAACAAAATTAGAAAATGGTGCAGTGTTTTAGCAGCACCAACTAAAGAACGTAAAACGATGAAAACAGCAAAGCACGAAAAAATAGACCAGAGTTTATATTTATGGTTTAATCAACAGCGGGAACGTGGGGTTCCCGTATCCGGACCTATTTTGCAAGAAAAGGCACTTTCACTACGCGAGGATCTACCAGTGACTGAATCGCCTCTTGATTTTACATCTAGCGATGGTTGGCTTACTAGGTGGAAGAAGCGGCACGGAGTACGCGAATTGCGAATCTGTGGTGAAAAACTCTCAGCAAATATAGCAGCAGTACAAGATTTTATAAAACAAATCAACGCCGTTATAGAATCAGAAAAGTACACGTTGGATCAATTGTATAACTGTGATGAAACAGGCCTTAATTTTAAAATGATGCCATCTAAAACTCTGGCATCAAGAACTGAAGCAGGAGCACCGGGGTACAAGAAATCGAAGGAACGAATTACACTTCTCGCTTGCTCCAATTCTTCTGGTAGACACAAACTACACATTATGTGTATTGGTAAGTCTGCAAAACCAAGGGCTTTTAAGCACATATCTTCTAGCACCTTACCGGTGTATTATCGACATCAAAAAAGTGCGTGGATGGATTCTAACTTATTTCAAAATTAGTTCTTTGAAGAATTCGTACCTAAAGTAGAGACATTTTTGAAGAAATCTGGGTACCCAAGAAAAGCTCATTTGTTAATAGATAACGCACCATCTCACCCGAAAGAAAGTGATCTGGTAAGTGGTGAAATAAAGGCTATGTTCCTTCCTCCAAATGTGACTTTCCTAATCCAACCTATGGATCAAGGTGTGCTAGAAACCCTTAAGAGACATTATCGAAAACTTTTATTGCAATCCATATTGGAAAAAATACATGAAACTGATTGCAGCTTGCTGGATTGCTTAAAGCAAATTGACCTTAAAGATGTTGTATACTGGGTATCAGATGCGTGGAACAAAGTTAAAATGGAGACATTGGAAAAATCATGGTCAAACCTGTTGAGACCACAAGAAAAAGAGAGCACGATGGCTGAAGAAGATAGTGCTGAAGTTGAAGAACTTTTTCAAATGACCAAATAGCTTAGTGATTGCGAAGACGTAGACATGGGCAATTTTACCGACTGGCTGGAAGGCGATGAGCAGATGGAGCTTACAGATAATGAGATAATATCTCTTGTGACTCGTAACAATGAAGAGGAACTAAATGAGGAAGAAAATGTGGATGAATCTCCCAGTATTTCTCACACTGAAGGCAAAGATGCTCTGGAGATAGCTATAAGGTTTGTATCATAAAAAATCTGTTTCATAAATATGTACAGACATAGTATGTACATACTAACTAATTATTTCTTAGGTATGTAGAGCAGCAGAAAGAAGCAACTCCAAGCGATGTGGCTCTTTTAAGAAGATGGCGTGATTTTGCAGCAAATGCAAGAAGGTCAAAACTAGTTCAAACGAATTTAGATTCATTTACGCAAAGTTTTACATAATTGAATAAATATGTAGTATGTATACAATGTATTTATGTATGTATATTAAAAAATAAATAAATGCAGATGTATTAACTAGAGTAAAATAAATTATGAAGATCACATTGCGTGACGGCATCCGACTCTCGATTATCCGGAAATTTCGGTTATCCGGAAATGGCCCGGTCCACATTATTCCGGATAATCGGAAGTTTACTGTAAATGGCAAAAAAAGGTAAACACCTACGTATGTTTATCTGATTTTAATAATTTTTGGCATATATGTTCAGTGTTCCTTACTAGTAAAATGATTAAATTTTCAGCTTTAGGCAGCAGCGGTGGCCGCAGTAGTAGACTCTTCGGTCTCCTGATCAGTCGCCGTGCGCTGTGCGGGTTCGAGTCCCGTCCCAGGAGAACTTTTTCTCTTGGCTATGGATGTTGTGATTGTCCGTAGGTGGTAGATGGTCTCTGACTGTCGAACGTGCAGGTGCCACCCGGCGGATCTTGTAGGCGCAGCCAGAATGTGTGCATGTTGCATGCACACGTGTTCCCTCGCCAGAGTCCGTGTGGCGTTCCCCCTTTCCCCTGTATCCCCCATAGCCCCACGGTACCCAATGGGTGTTTAGGCCTTAGGCCTTCGTGGTAGTTGGAGTATAAAAAAAAGCTTGATTCGTCAACTAACTGCAGAAGCTGGTTCAATAATGTGTTGAGTATCCACGATTTCGATACACTCTTTGACACGCCTGTTGGGGTATGATTAAATTTTCAGCTTGATTCGTCAACTGACTGCAGAAGCTGGTTCAATAATGTGTTGAGGATCCACGATTTCTTATACACTCTTTGACACGCCTGTTGGGGTATCTCACTCCAGGCTACTGC